TTTTGAGAAAAAAAATTTTTTCCCTTTTTTTTTTTTTTTTTTTTTTTATGAAGCAGAAACTCAGTCAAAGCATTTCATTTTCAAGCTTTTTAGCGTTACATTAAAGGTCATTTTAATCATTTAATTGCACAAGTATTACTTCCCAATGATTTTCTCAATTCAGATTCCAACATCTGAGCCTCTAAAATTCTCGTTTTAATGTTTACTAAAGTGATTAATATTGTTGAGGTTTGCCTGTTGCCTTAATTTTGTTGTTACATGACAGTGATCATAAGTCACCTTCCTATAATGTGACTGAGCTTTAGTCTATTACTTTTTGCCCTCCAGCTACATGAACTCAGCAGATCTGCCATATCCTGCACAGACTTGCTCACAGGTTTTACAAATGCTTCAATGCATCATGCTTCTTTTCTTTTCTCCCCCGCAGCCACCAGCGCACTTTTGTCCTTGAAGTCATGGGCCGCCACTGTGGGTGAGTAACACATAGATTTTAAAAATCTTTTATTTATCCCTTTATATAGTGCTAATTAGATTTGGGTATTAACTAGCTATATTTAAGTAACGTTTTAGAGCAACTTTGCTTTTAGGATTACTTGAGTCAACTTCATTGAATGAAGAACAAGCTCGTTTTAACCAAAAATTAATCAGAGACAAACACACCTGCAATTTTTGTTCAAGTTTTGTACGCTTTGTACTGAAACAAAAATATTTAAATTTTTTTTTTCTTTTGCCTGTTTTTGTTATATTTTTAACTATGGTATTTCTATGATTATTTTGAGGTTGGCCTTTTTAAAATACCAACATTTCCACATAACTTTATATTTTGGTTCATCGGAGGATGTCATTTTTAAATACTACATCATTCATGTCATGATCAGTTACTCTTATTTTTTTTTTTTGGACCAAATACTGTTTTTACTGTTACTGGAATAATTTTTTGGACAGCTACTTTTTACTTTTAGTTGAATAAAATTATTTAGTACTATGCTTGCATGAGTACACTTTTTGGGTACTCTACCCTCTTCTTGTGTTAATTAGTGTGTTTTGCCTGAAGGTATCTGGCCCTCGTGTCGGCTTTAGCATCAGGAGCAGACTGGCTCTTCATTCCAGAGGCTCCTCCGCTGGAGGGCTGGGAGGACCTCATGTGTGCTCGTCTGGAAAAGGTGGAGCATGCACGCACGCAAAAACAGTGCAGATTTCATTTAAGCACCAGCTTCATGCTCCGGTACACCATGTCTGAAGGTTTAACCAGGAAACCTCTGTTTACTTTCAGAGCCGAAACAAGGGGTCAAGACTCAACATTATAATTGTTGCAGAGGGAGCCATTGACTCAAATGGAAAGCCCATCTCCTCAACTTACATAAAAGATGTGAGCTCTTATTTACAGACTTGATGGCACTTATAATATGTGTTGAAGACACGTTAATTAAGATTAAGAGAGTGTATTATTTATAATTCCATCCCTTTGGTTATTGTTTCTGGAGCTTCAACTATAATTTAGTGTTTTTTTTTTTGTTTGTTTTTTTTTTTTCATCCTGGAGTGCAACATTAATAAATGAGTACTTGTACATCTGTTTGAAGCTGGTGGTGAAGAGGCTGGGCTATGACACCAGAGTGACGGTGCTCGGCCACGTTCAGCGAGGAGGAACTCCGTCTGCGTTCGACAGGATACTGGTGAGCTGCATGTGATAAAAGAGGATTGTTGAATGTATGTCTCATCAAGATGATGGCATTTAACTGTTAATTCTTAGTCTAGCGTCGAAATTTTTAGACAGTTGTAGTAGGATAAATTGAAGTTATCAGTATGGACAACTAAATTGTAGTTTTCCTCTTTATTTAGAATTTTACACCAGTTTTGCATTTTTAAAAGGCGTAGACCTACTCTCATCAGGCTTTCACTGGCAATATCTTTTAGAAAACCTACTGATTTTGTCTGAGGATGATACAAAACATATTTCTCTAAACATTGTTGGAACAATTAAATATTGCTACTCTAATTAAACTGGAAAATGCATCATAGTTCCTTTCATAGATGTAGAAGTTTTAAGTCTAACATTTAAGGATTACAAGATTGTTCCCTTTCAAGCATTAGAGCATAATTCCTTAACCTTTTTTCTAAAACTCAAAATAATTTAGATCAAAGTTGCTTATTAATAATATTACAGATGGGAAATTGAAAGATTAGTGAAAGTTAATGTTGCAGACCTTCTTGCATTATGAAGAGCAGATCTGCATTTCAGTCTACATGGATTTTTATCTATTCATTAATTCTGAAAAATCTGATAAATTATTTCTGGAACATTACTGGGCTAATGGTACCATTCAGGATCAGTACAGTATAAGTTTTAGATATATTTTACTTGTTCAAGTATTATTCTGAGTACTTGATTTAAAATGGTTTATTGTACCATTTAGCAGCACAGAGGTGCAGCCTAATGTAATTGTTGTACTTAAGAAACCTATTTGGTTGCTAAATTTTAGTTTTTGACCATTATTTCTAATTGTGAGGCTCTGACTTTATGCAGTGATACATTTTTGCAGATAAAAAGATTATTTTCCGATTTGAAAAACTTTTATTTTAACTTTTTATTGCTATTACCAACATTTTCATGTCTTTGTCATGATTAGTAAGAGTAACTGTCTGCTGGAGCTATGTAGTCAGATTGTAAAAAGGATGATGGATTGAGTGAAGATTACCTTGGTTTTGGAGTATTAGGTCTCCAGTCCCTAGAGACTTTCTATTAAAGATCAGAGCATTTGTTTGTTCTTCTCTATTTATAGTTGTCTGAACTCATCGCCTGACTGGATTATGTATACAACATTTGTCTGTTTACAGAACCACAGGGGGCAATGCCCTGGGCAATACTTAAAGCTGGTTATCCTCGTCAGGCCTTAGTTTACATATAAATTCAAAGACAGTTTGTGATTTGTTTTTTTGTTATTTGATATAAATTTGACTTTTTCCTGGATTAAACTGGGTCGTATACAGTACAATTTAATACGAGTTGGAATTGTGTGGCTAAATATACAATAAATAAACTGAATTGAAATTGGTAAACAGTACATGATGACCAGCAAACAACCACCAAAAAAAATCATGTAGCAGCTTTAAAGTCTGTCACTTTGCTTCTTTTAATGATTAGTGGTTAGCTTCTCTAATTGAAGATTTCCGAGAGCAGCATGATTTCACCAGAGCCGCATTCACTTTTTTCATCTTAATATGAATGTGTGTTTGCAGAGCACCAAGCTGGGAGTGGAGGCAGTAATTGCCCTAATCGAGGCCTCTCCTAACACTCCAGCCTGTGTCATCGGTCTCTGTGGCAACCACGCGGTCCGTCTGCCTCTCATGGAGTGTGTGGACATGGTGAGTCTGGCTCCACACTGGGGGAACTGATTTAATGGATGGCAAACATTTGATGTAGCGTGGGCTGGTTGCAGCTTAACAAGAAAATGAACAATCTTTTGCAGACCAAGTTGGTGCAGAAAGCCATGAATGAAAGGAGGTTTGAGGAAGCTGTTAAACTGCGTGGAGGGTAGGCGCTCATGCTTATCCTGGATTGTGCTGTATAATGATTCTTTAACGAACATTATTGACATTCATTTACACAGCGATCTGTTTCAAGTGCTTACTTTTGTTAATTTTGATGATTATCGTAACAAAAACTTGACAAAAAACTTTGCTAGTTGTTACCCGAGGCCAAATAAAAATTATTTCTAATATACAAACTGATAAGACTGCTGACTTAGCAGTTAGTGACTGTCTAAACGAGGAGGCCAATTAACAAACGTCCATTTTTAACGAAGCTTGCTGCTCAGAGCTCTGTATGCAAGTATATTAATGGAAAATTGAGTGGCAGGAAAAGGTAAATTCTGGTAGAAAAAGATACAAATGCAGCAGAGATAACTGCATGACTAAGAGGATTGTGAAGCAACACCCATTAAAGATGTTAATTACTCTTCCTGGGTAACCACAGCCACTTTAAATGACCACAATACCACTGAACGTAATTGATCAGCAAACTGGTCTTAATTAAACCACATAGAAAATTGTTTGGAGTATTGTTAGTACATAGAGGGGAGACAGCAGGGCAACAATATAGATGAGGTTAAGGTTGCTGTGGAAACAACTAGAGGTTTCTGACAGATTCACAGGCTGACCACCTTTACTGGATTGGAGCCCCAGTCAATGCTACACTGTAGCATTTCAGTAGACTGTCATTTTGGTGTTGCATTTTGTTTTTTTGTTTCTTTTAAGTAAGTATTTTGTAACATTCTAATTTTCAAATAAACCGAATTGTGGCTTTTTATTAGCCGTAAGCCATAATCATTGTTTTTAATAGGAATAAACATTTAATAATGTGTAATGAACTTGCACATTAAATGTGTAAATGTAATGTGTAAATTTACACATTTAATGTGTTTGTCATTGTATTTAACAATGACAAAATACGAGTCATTGTTAAAATATAATAACTGAAGTTAATGTATTAAGAATTTACAAGTTCATGGAAATGTGCCTGCATACCTAACTATAATATGCCTTGTTTCTGTAGGAGTTTTGAGAACAACTTGAATATTTACAAGCTTCTGGCCTTCCCAAAGCCTGCTCTTACCGAGGTTAGCTTGTCACACATCAGCTTTATCTCATGTTTTTAAGCGTGAAACACTCACAGGATGTAATTTGTGAGATGAACTTGACTTTGGTTCCCCTTCAGAGCAATCACTCTGTGGCTATTCTGAACGTCGGCGCTCCAGCTGGAGGCATGAACGCAGCAGTCAGGTCAGCCGTGAGAGTTGCACTTGCTCTCGGACACAAGGTCTACGGCGTCCATGACGGCTTTGAAGGCCTCGCCAACGGATTGGTGAGGATGGCTTTCTATGACGCAAAATCTTAGCTATAATTTTGAAAAAATTATTTAAAAGAAACTGTTCTTTCTGCCTGCGAGCAGATATTTGAAATGGATTGGCACAACGTGGCTGGATGGACGGGACAAGGAGGATCACTCCTGGGGACAAAGCGGTAAAAAGGAAAGCTGTACTGTTTCAAAAAATATGCCTGTCAAGTATTTGTGTACTCATAAGCAAATTCAGGTAGTAAAATAAACTTAATTTTAAAATGCTTAGAGGACAATTACAACACATTTGTGACATGTGAAGTTAAATGCCTCAAAGTAATTTTAAAACCTTTTTTTTATGCTGTGCCTTTCTCAGAACCCTTCCTGCTAAATTCATGGAGAAAATTGTTGAGAACATTGGCAAGTTCCGCATCACAGCTCTGCTTGTCATTGGAGGATTTGAGGTATTTGAGTTTTTCATTTTCTTTAAATCACTGAATATTATTAATTAAAGACTTCAGAGTTACGATCCGCGTGTTAATTTCAAAGGGATACGAAGGTGTGCAGCAGCTGTATGAAGCCAGGGGTCACTTCGATGAGCTCTGCATCCCCATGTGTGTCATCCCGGCGACCATCAGCAACAACGTCCCAGGAACAGACTTCAGTCTGGGAGCAGACACAGCTGTTAACGCCGCCATGGAGGTACGTCTGAGCAGAGCGCACATTTATTGCTGTTGGAGAACTGCAGTAAACAGTGGCACCTAGGGGTCAGCAAGGCCCCACTGCAGGCATACAATGGTATGGAAGAGGATTAGGGTAAAGAGGGGAAAAAAATAATTTTTCCTTTTTTCTCAGAATCTTGGAAAAAGTCAGAATTTTTTTTTCTTCTGAATTTTGACTTTAATCTCAGCATTTAGCAACTAACTCAACAGAAAAATTAACTATTTTTTTTTTTTAAGTCAGAATTATATTTTTCATAAGTGGCCCTTGCCAGAAAGAAAGTATTTTGTGCCCTGTCGCCACAGTTGTTAATATGAGAGGTTAGCTAACTGCTAGTAAGACTAACTCTATTTGAGATCTTGTCAAATATTGAACATCTCTTTTCAAAGTTAGTATGTCTGGCTTACACTCGGGCTCACTGAAAAGGACTCGGGGTGATCTAGAGAGATTGTGCAAGGAGGAAGGGTCAAAGATCCTTCTCTTGTTCAAGATGATAAAAATTGTGCAACTAGCAGTTTAGCTAAACCAATTATTTCTTAACGTGGAGTTTTTCCTCCCACTGAATAAATAAACTCAGATTTAAGATTTTTCTCATTTTTCAGTGAGAGTTTAGGGTGCAGCATCGCAAGATCAAACTTATTTAAACCTTTTTGTACATTTTCTCCAGGGGTTCAAATAAACACAGGTGGCACTGTAGCTAGAAATGGTGTTTTACTTCTATTTGCAGATGGGGCCAGTCAAACCTTTTTATATCTAATAAGGAAATACATCTTACTTTTTAATTATCATCTTTTCTTGGGGGAGCTTCTTATGTTCTGAGAGTAATTGTGTCTCATTTTAACTTGCCTTCAGGGATGTGACAAGATTAAGCAGTCTGCCTCCGGGACGAAGAGACGAGTGTTTGTAGTCGAGACGATGGGAGGATACTGTGGTTATCTGGCCACCTCCACTGCTATCGCTGTCGGTGCTGATGCGGCTTACATATTCGAAGAGCCTTTTAACATCCATGACCTTAAAGTGAGACTTAAAGCAAAACAAAACAGTTTCTGTCTCACTTTTTTTTTGTTCGCTTAATGCATCTTCCCTCTATCAACAATGTGCCCTCTGTTGATAGACCAATGTTGAACATTTGGCTGAAAAGATGAAGAAGGACATCCAGCGGGGTCTGGTACTAAGGTTCGCAACTTTACAGAGCAATTTAAAGTCTTGAGTGAAGACATTACGTTTAACATTACTAAAAACATAAAATTCAAAGTACTCGCAGTAAAGGCTCATTTTGTAGCGAAAAGAATGGCTTCCAGTCTTTCAGATTTTTCAACACATTTCTGTTTGACTAGTTTAGAGTAAAGGCTGAGAAGTGCTTAATGACCTTATCAAGTGTTTCAGTTGGCCAAAGTGCAGTTTAGACAGAACTTTGTAACATAAAAATAACTTAATATCTGAAGTAAGATAAATATACGTTTGTCAACTTTTCAGCCTCATTATGCATTTTTGCACCGAGGTTACCATACTTAAAACATTTGCAGTACAGTTAACTTCAACAATTATTGATACTGGTTTTCACCAACTATTGACATTCTTGTTTTTGAAGTTTACAACTAAATAAAAGTTACGACCAACATTGTCATATCTGGAAATACTGATGACCCTTTAAAACCAAGTTTCTGCTGATTAAATGTAACATTCTGAATATTTAGACCAACAACAGAATGACATAATTGTGTAATAACTTTGAACTACTGTTGACTATCTTCTTTTTTTAAACAGGAACGAATACTGTCACAAGAACTACACTACAGACTTCATTTATAATCTGTATTCAGAGGAAGGAAAGGGAGTCTTTGACTGTAGAGTGAATGTGTTGGGACACCTCCAGCAGGTATAGTTTTTAAAATAAGACACCACCATGTGCAGTATCTTCATAGTGAAAGCAAATATTTTGTATTCCTGGAAGATATATAGGAGACATATATGTAAACAAATAATACACACATATATATATATAGATATTTAGATGGAGTGTTCATGTTTGAGATTCACTGGGTCACTTAGGATGTGCGTTTGTGCTGCAGGGAGGAGCACCTTCCCCCTTCGATAGGAACTTTGGCACCAAGTTGGGTGTGAAGGCAATCCAGTGGCTCTCCGAGAGGTTGACTGAAAGCTTCCGACAAGGTGGGGTTACGCTACACTCCCAGAAAATAAAAGTACTAAACCAAACTGCAGACGTTTGCTGATGATGCCATTGTTTCCCCTCCAGGCCGCGTGTTCGCCAACTCCCCAGAAACGGCGTGTGTGCTTGGCCTGAACAGGAAGGTCGTCTCATTCGTTCCTGTAACTGTCCTGAAGGCCAGCACTGACTTTGAGTAAGTATTTTGAAAAACATATAAAACACCGGCTTTTGTTTTATTTATTTATTTTTGTTCAAAACTTTAAACCAAATCATTTATGGGTATTGTTTTTGTACTTTTCAGGCACCGGATGCCCAAGGTTCAGTGGTGGTTCAACCTGAGACCGATGCTGAAGATGCTGGCCAGGTATCAAACCAATTTTGTTGAATATGTCCCTGGAGAGATGGAACATGTGACTCGGCGCTCCATCAGCATTGATGCTGGATACTAGGCTTCCTGAGGCAAAACTTCTGTATGCAGTTTCTGGATCCTTAGCTATCCATCCTTTGTCCCATTTTCACTCACGAGTGTGTTTTGGTGCTCTCCCTCATGAACCTAGCCAGAGTTGCATAGTGGGAAATAATTCCTATTTGCATATGAAATTGCACTGGACCAACATCCACTATAGAGTGTAGATATTTTTTTCTCCAGTTGAATTCCTCGTACCTAAGAAACAAGAACTCTTATTCTCTAGTCGTACGCTTAGATTTTTGTGCTAAGCTGTCATCATACCTTTTGGCTTGCCTCATGTGGGCTTATTTAAAAATACTTTTTTATGTAGATTAAAGAGTGAAAAGATGAAGCAAATATGTTTACTGGAAATATGCCCTTGTGATATGTTTAGTACATGTATTTTGGGAATAATTGTGTCAAATGAACAGCGTGCTTCTCTGTCAGAACAGAACATGTTGATTTACGTGGAAGTTAAATGACCAGTTCACCATCCCAGGCTTAAAGATTAATGCTATGAGTAACACAAGTGGTAAAATAATTATCAGGTGAATTATTTGGAAAATAAAGTCAGGTGCTCTGCCATGGCAGATGCTGAGCTGAGTGAATTTACGCAGACAAAGCAAGCCACTGTTAAGCGTAGTGTGAATTTAAGTAACATTATCACAATGTCGCTGCAATATTTGAGTAGCATTCATGTAAATAATGTTGCAGTAGAGCATGTTTACAGTAGATATGGTGTCTTTGCGTTAGCGTGACTGAAGTATAAGATGTTTTCTATTATTTAGTGTATGCCTGTAACTGCAGATGCCCTGAGAATCAGGTTTCTGTTTCTGTAAAGTTCAGGCCGTACCCTCTGAAGTTCAGACACTTTACTCTTGAATGAAAATGGGACTATGTTTCTTAAAAACTTTTTTAGTACCTCTAATCAGTGTAATACTAGCTATTTAAGATCAAGTAACATAATTTCCAGTATTCATTCATTAACTGACGCATTTAATACAGAGAAATTTTGTACTTTCTTTGTAAGGATTTTTTCTACTCAAATTGCTGCTATAGAACAGACAACCAGATGTGTCACCAAACCAAAGTTTTACAGAACTTTCATTGAATATCATGTATTGCAACAAATGAATGTAGATGCTGCAGTATAAATCTCTTACTTTTAAATCCACATATAGGAAATGCTTACATTCTGAGCCATAAGACATATTAGCAGGAGCCTTCAGTGAAAGAAATAATTCTGATCATGTTTAAACATGTCATTTCTAAAAATTAAGAAATTTATAAACTTTTTGTGTTTTTTATCTGAATATTTTGTGTGGCTAATGTGACTGTAACTCAAGAGACCCTTAAGATATTCATTTTCTGTTTTTTATATATACATGTTTATGTATATTGTGTGGTTGTGTGACTGAAGCAAAAATATCTAGTATTAATTCAAATTAACAGAATTTTCCGAACTTATCAGATACTTTATTACAATTTAAAACATGTAAACTTTACAACTACTGTACTTTAAAGAGAGGAATCTATAAAGAAATATAAACTTCTGATGTGTTTTAAGTATATATTAATGACGTACATATATATCCAAGTATGACGCTATTATGTATACATTGCTGTGTGATTAACCCAAATACGCCTTTATATCAAACAGTTGAATTCAGGAACTTAAATCACTGCCAGCTCAACAACATAAGGAAATAAACAGGAACTCGGTTCACAAAGTACTGTAGTGTGTTTTTTCTTTTCTCAGAAGTTGAATGAAAACGGAAACTCATCTTTGGGGTTTTTCTTGCTTGACTGAGGACTGTTGCTTGTAAAGTCAAACTGGAAGTCTTCACTTTGTTCTGGTTGGTCAAACAGGAACTCAGTAGCTGGAAAATCATATCCCAAATCGAAGAGTTAATTTATTTCAGTAATGTTGTTCCAAATGTTAAATATATATGTGGACACAGAATGATATATTTCGAGAATTAAGTTCTCATTTTGATGGGCATGGTTATCACAGCTAACAAAAAAAAAAAAGTTATCTTTCTGGAAATAAGAATCCTGCAAAAGACTGAAGGAGTGCAGAGGCACATAATCTAATGTGCTTGAGGTGTAATGTGAAGTTCCCATGGTCAGTGATGTTTTGTCATCAGTCAACTTTGTTTAATTAAGTCCACAGCGCAGCCGTCTACCGGGGGGATTTTACCGTACTTGACTGTTAAAAAGATTTATGAAGATGCTGATTTAATTTTCCAGTATGATAGAACACCTGCCCACATTATCAAAAGTACCAATACCTGGTTCAGTAATCATGGTCTTATTGTTCTTGACTGTCCAGCGAACTCACTTGACCTAACCCCCATACAGAAACTGCGCAGTAATGACAAGAGGAAGATGAGATGTGGCTCTGCTGGATACATTAGTAGAACCATGGGCTGATCACCACAATGCTACACTGCACTCATGCAGTAATTCATGCAAAAGGAGTCCCGGCCAACTATTGGTATTATTTATTTTTTTGTTAATCTGAGATTCTGAGAAAATGAATTTTGTTTTTATTAGCTGTAAGCCATAGTTATTAAAATGATTGAAAATAAACATCATGAACAGGACTCACTAGTTGCAATGAATCTAAACATGAGTTTCACTTTTAATTTAATTACTGAAATAAACTTTTTAATGACATTTTAATTTATTGGGATGCACCCATAGAGGTAATATAACAAAGCAGCTTCTGAATAGATACTTACAGCTTGAAGATTTAGCATCTGTGGCTTTCTGTAAAGAAGATGAACAGCCCTCAGTATCTTTTCTCCAGATGTACGAATGCCTAAAGAATATCTTGTAATGTAAACCTCACCTTGTCGTTGAAAAAAGAGCCAGAAAAAGCAAAAGAGGATTCCTGCAATGACAACTAGCGTTAACTCCGAAGTCAGGAACGAGCAATTGCTGTCAGGTTTAGTTTTTCCCTTCAGCTAACTTCCTACTTCTTCCTGGGAAGGTCCAACATCAAATCCAAATCCAGGAAATCCTGGTATGCTAACATTGGAGTTCAGATTGAGTGCAAAAGCTGAAGATTTAGAATCGGGAGTGCCTTGACGATGAAAGCTGGTGGGACTGAAGCTAAAACAAGGACAGAACACATCTCTTCAGGTTCTGTTGACAACTTGACTCAAAAGTCTTGAGGAACTCATAAAATCTTACTTGAATGTAAATGTTGGAGTTGAGAACACGGATGTTTCAGTTGAAGAGAGAGCCTGTAGATTGGCTTCTTGAGATGTTTGAAGAAAACTATTGGCTTCCTGATGGTCCTCTGCATCAGGTGCTTCATCCTGCATGTTATCCTTCTGGACCTCCTCTGGATCTGATAAAGTGGGAACCTGCACCTTGTAGCAGGAAAAGCAAAAAAAAACTTATTTTACAGACAATGTACATCACAATCGAAAGAAACAAAAGTCTGCTTGAGAAATGGAAGCATCAGTCAATATTATTATTATTATTTGTGGTATAACTCAGTTAGTACAAAGGTTGTACAGAAATGCATCCTGGTAAAAAAAAAAGAGTAAAGGAAAGTCATAAACCATGGTTTTCATCAACAAGTTACTTAATAAAGTGATACTCTGATCTGACCCCATGTTTCAGTAACAAGTAATCTAATGCGTTACTATTTACAATCCAATACTCAGATTAAAATTACGAATCCAAGTCACTGTGTGTTGCTATATCTGTTATTTTATTTTGTAAAAACATACATTGTTGCTTTGCTCTTTTCTGGGAGTTGCATCTCGTGTGTAACATCAGCAACACAAACGTAAACAATGGAGGGAAAAGAGATGTGCATTTCCTAGCTGATGGATCGATTTTTCATTGAGTAATGAAGTTTCTTTTTTTTTTTTTTGACCTCAAGGTGGCAAACCGCCCCAAAAAACATCCTTTTCCATTTCATCTTGAACAAAATGCCTTGAGTCTTTAATCAAGGCAAGCTGTCATTTTCAGCCACAAACATTTAATTAAAATATCTACTGTTATGTAGTACTGTCTCTTACCTGTTGGTCTGTTCCTGTCTACATATCTACTGTACTACATATCTACTGTTATGTAGTACTGTCTCTTACCTGTTGATCTGTTCCTGTCTCTCCCTCCCTCTGACTCTGTGCTTCAAGCTTCTGATGTCCCTGCATTGTATTCATGGCTTTACAACCGACACCACATATACTAACGTACAGTATCAGAATGTGAACTAACTAAAGCTAAAAAAAATGTGTTGTACTGCACCTTATAACCTAATCATAACTTAACCATTACCCTTATAAATTGTGTGGAAATAATTATAAAAAATACTGAAAAGTTAAAAAAAAAAGTCAACCTGACATTAATCCTCACCTGTTCTCCTTGCTGGTTCTGTTATAATTAATATTATGTTTATATCTTCACACCCTGACCCTGCACTTTTCATGATAAAATTGTTTAGTTTATTTAAAAAGTAAAACCAGGGAATACATATTTCAATAAACTAACATAAGACCTCACTTGAGCTTCCTCAATCTCTTCACCCTTCTTCACTGTTCTAGCTCTGCTATTCAGCTGATGCGACATAATATAATATACACATAATGTATAATGTTATATAATGTAATATATTATCCAATATATGTTGATAAATAGTTGAGTATGATCAGGTGTTGTGTATACACTGATATTACACTTTAAACAACAACAAAAAGGCTCATTTTGCTGCTGTTTCAGTTTCATTGTGGTGAAATAAAACATTCTGGCTAGAGAAGCTAACTTTTAGATAAAGATTAGCAGTAAAATATTCGACGTGTGATTATTTCAGAATTAAAATTACTTGATTCCTCAAGATTTGGTTCCTCTATTTGAAAGTAAACTGGCAACAAAGCGTTATAAACAAACAATATTCATTGCAACATTCCCGACAGACTGTTTTACCTCATTCAAAAGGAGTTTCTGTCTCCCACCTCTCAAACACTCTGAGCCGTTCGGAGGGGGTAAAGGAGAGGAGGAAGGAGCGCTGTGTTGCGCATTCAAAATAAAAGCACACAAGCGAAAGATTTGAAAATCAAATATTTTTCGCAACTGTGGTGAAATTCGCCTGTCTCCAATACTGGGGAGAAACACAAACCCCCACCCCCGTCCCGGGTTCCTATGCCTATGAGAAGAATAGTACAAATATAGATCTGTTTGAAAGCTGTGCAAATTAAACTTATGTAACCTAAAAGTTGATCTGTGTGAAAGTTTGCTAATGCATAAAAAAATATAGCGACTCAGTCCACTAAAAATCAGACAATAAACTAAAACCTGTTCCTCCTGTGACATTTCTGCTTCCTCTGCCTCAGAGTGCATTTCTTCCGGTGGACCTGACTCTGGAAAAAAACAAAAAAAACACAAAAAAAACAATCTCATGGTGATCTTCAATGATGACATTTACTGTATATATGAATAAATAATCAAAAAACTGAATTTATTTTAATTTCTAGGGCAACATATTCACCGTCTGACAGCTGCAGAGACCACAGGTCTTCATTTGATTTGTCAGAGGCAGTGAAGCAGCTGGTTGGATCCTGCGGTTCGTTTTCCTCACTCATCTCCTCAGTGTTTACTTCTGCAGCAGGTTCATGGTCACGCTGTAACATTACGTTCAGGATTGATATAATTTTACAGACCATAATTACTGATGTGTTAGAAATAAGAAAATATCAAACTGATCAATCTGAGTACAGTTGCTTGGTTGAGATCAATGTATGACATGTCAATGGAGCAATCCTCCTTCGTCTGTTCGGACTGTTCTTCTGCTGTGTGGTGTTCGCCTAAAACACTGCAAAGAAAATTGCATTTAATTAGTAAATAAAAAGCTTTAAAAGTTAGCATTTTTTTTATTATTTGTAAATTTTGTAACACAAACCCATCTGGTAGTTTTTCCATGGAATAAGAAGTCGCATCTGGATCTGTTCAGAAATAAATTGCTGAATATGTCATTTTTCAGCTTACCCAGAGAAAAGACAAATTACAAAGAAAAGACTGGGCTACCAGTAAGATGTTCCAGTTCTTTCTTTTTCATCATCATGCAGTCATCACAGTGTTTAATTTGACTCTCAATTTCCCCTATCTCAGCCTGCAGCAGGAGGAGCTTCTGAGCGATGGGATTTTGGAAATATGTTTCTTTGTATGACTGCAGTGTCTGTAGGTAGCTAGCAAACCTCTCTTTGTAGACTTCCCTAGTTGGTGCAAAATCAACAACTCAGTTTCGGACATTTAAATGCAACTTGCAACAAATCAAATTATACAATAACCTACTGGTCATGGTCATAGCTGCTTTTTCTATTTTCCAATTCAGTTTTTAGCGTCTGTTCATACTGAAGAAGCAGGCTGTTGGTCACCTTCATGCTGGAGAGTCATGGATGACAGAAAAAAAAAAACAGTAAATAAAAGCCCCACTACAATGTAACTGGAATAAAAATACATTTGATCATGTTGACCAGTGCACACTGTGGTACTTAATTTCTGTTACCTTTTTGCTTTTTCTTTATTGCTCGTTACAGTGCTCTGCTTCACTCGAATTTCTTCTTCAAGATTCTTGATGTATCCTTGAATTGCTTCAATGTAAGACTTCTTCTCAGTGATGAGAGTTCTGCACTCTGTTTAAAAAAATATAATATAATTTGATAAGGACATGTAGCACAATGCAGTTATAATACTATTGGGATATCAATTAATAAAACTCAGGCCACGATTTGTTTAACTTATCAACAATTGTAGCTAGACATACCTTTGATTTGCTTTTGGATTCCATTCTTCTTTTGAGAAGCCTCTCGAGTTTTAACAGCTAAAAAGGAGTGAAATTATTTGATTGCTTTTTATGTGTAAAAGATATCGACCCCAACAACTGTATACAGTTTCCAACTAGCTTACACTTCATTAGCAAAAGTCCGAAAGTGCTAACAAAAGTGCTAACAATAAAAACGCAAACAAGTTTAATGAAGATATAGTTGTAAACATAATAAACTTACCAAATTGAAAAACAAGACTATCAATATTGTCGAGTAAATGCTGCTCCTTCATGTTGGGTTGAACTAGCTAACGGCGCTAACAGTTAAGAATTTTAATTATAATGAAAAAATATAGTTTAAAGCTAAAGGGGTGATATAATGTGGTAACTTAATTAAGCCACCAATTATATAGAAAAATACAAGTTCACGTTAAAATCTATTTTAGATTAGAAATAATTTACGCCAAAGGAAACAAATGTTGGAGGTGTGATCATAGCGACTACCAGATCAGATTTCATGGTTTAGTAACCATGGCAACTGTCAGCTATTCTTCCTCAACGCAGTAGTTAGTGATGAATTTTACTATGTGTTTTTAATACTGTATGCCATTGGTTTTATATAGAAAAATATTTTATTCCTTTTAATGATAACATGAAGTCTCAACATTAAGACTCAACCTCATGGCGAAATATTTTAACTTAAAATGACATATTTTACTCGTAATTATGGCTTCATTATGCACAACTTATTTCCAAATTTTGGACGTTACAGTAGCCTACTTTTTTGTCATTTTGAACCTCGTGACCAATAATTCAAAGTTGTCAATAAATATCTAAAATTCAAACATTTGGGTTTGAATTAAAGTGTGTCCTTATTTTATGGACGTGGCCTTCAAACTCATTTGTACTTTATATTATTTGTTACAACTCAAACCCAGTCAAACAAATGATTTTTTTTCCTTATTTTTCTGTCTTGCATAATTATGACTTTGAAACTCAAAGATATCGGTTAGAAACTTAAAATGATTCATTTAGAATCAAAATTGGGGCACTTTTTAAAAATGTATTTCGTAGTTCTACTTTTTTGTTGCACTGAAAATTATTTTTGCCTTGTGATTCTTTTTTTTTTTTATCTTAAATTTGTATACATTTTATATGATCCATAAGACCATGTTGTCTTTCATTTGGAGCTACCGGACTTCCGAAGTGAAAATAGTCTTTTGTATCCAAATTCTGCTCCTGTTTTTTTTTTTTTTTTTTCCCTCCAGAAGCAGAGGAGACGCTGTGGCAGGAGCAGGGATCAAGCATAGTGTGGATTGGTCGGATTTTGGAAGTTGTTGCGTAGGGGCGGGATTAGTCCTATTCTAGAAGCCCTTTTGCGTAGCGCATCTGTATGCTCAGAAACACGGCACTGGGGTGTGTTTGTGTGTTCTTGCGATGTGTCGGAGAGATCCGCTGGTTTATTCTCACACTGTCCCGGTTTGCTGGTCGCCGCTCGTCTGTTCTTTTAAAGGTAAGCCTGCATTTCAGTGGAAGCATTTTTAGACAGCGGCAGATTTCCACCGGCTGCTGTCTACAGACAAAAGAACGGACATGGGTGGGATTTAAATGGGAGGGGAATCAGCTGTATGAGGGTTGCATTGTCGATTTGACCCTCTCCTATAAGAATGCGTTCTTATTGAACGCTCTGTTTATTTTCGTGTGTTTTTGATACATATGTCTGTAAGGAGGATGCAAGATAATGATGATGTGCTCAGATAATCATGACAGTCATGCAAAGCAAAAAAAAAAAAAAAAATCCTTTCTAACTTGAACAAATCCAGGCTCCTGCTTTGTTTTTGCTACATCCGGTGCCGTTTCCCCTATTCATCCATATGGAAATAGATGCCATTTCCTGGATGTAAACAGTCTACAGCAGGACATAGAGAAAAGATTAGCTGTTTTGTGTAAAATTCAGCAGAGAACGCCTGCACACTGAGGATTAAATAACAAGTAAGCTTCTTCTAACTGGGCTCTCTTCCTCTCTGTTTGTGTGTGTGTTTCTGTGCTTGGATTACCTTCCAGTAATCTACATTTAGTTTTTGTAAATGCAGTAGATGGGACACATATTTCAGCCCACACGTAACACATCAGAAAAGTAGCCCATCATTCAGAGTTAATTGGTTTCAAGGAAAGGATGGCACAGGTAGAGGAATCTCACACTGAAGGGGAGAGCAGCCCTCAGATGGTCTCCTTAAGATCAGATGTGTCAGTGAGCCAGGGGAATGATGGAGAAGTGGGGCCATCTATGAGGAGGAAGAGGAGGAAGAAGAAAGATCCCCGTCCAGAGTCCATCATCGTGTACCGCTCCGAAATGGAGAGAGCACCAGGAGAGGAGCAGAGCGGCGAGGAGGGAGGGGAAAGGAGCACAGAGGAGGGAGCAAAGTTCCTGGGAACACCAACAGGAGAAGGTGAGAAGGTTGTTGAGTAGTGTTAGAGTCAAAGAGTAGTACACAAGTTACAATGACTGTACAGCGCCTTGTAAAAGTTTGTGTTTTCAATATTTAGTCACAACCAAACATCCTCAATGTATTCTATTGGAATTTTGCCTGACAGACAAAGTAATCCATCATTTTAAGGAAAATGACATATGGTTTTCTATAGTTTTTTTTTTTTTTTTAAATACAAATTTTAAACATGTAATGGGCCTTCATTCCCAGCCTTCTTTTACTTTGTTTTAAATGCATCTCATTTAATCTCAGTATAAACATAGCTGTTCAAGATAAATTGAAAAATATGCTGGGGCTTTTTGTACTGTGCATTGTATGGAACCCATCATCTAAAAATTAGCCAAGCCCTAAAGCATGCACAGCTCTGTTCTACTTTTAATTCCAAATCTGGATTACTTGAACCCTGCGATTAAAATAATTACATATCTGATTAATAAATAACTTGTATATTTGACAGTAATTCTATGTTTTTATTTATGGGAAATGCCTGAAACTTTAGCTTTTTGTTACATTTTTTTAATGTAATGTATATATATATAAAATTTGTTTAAAACAGGCTTTTGATTGCATTACTTGATTTACTTGTGTTCTGTGGTAATTTAAAGATCAATCTGTTGTTCATCTCAAACCTAATTTTATCTCTGGACAGAAAGGGACTGGAACCTTCCTCCAGACAGCCGCTACGTGACGCTTACTGGCACCATCACTCGAGGAAAGAAGAAAGGCCAGGTGGTGGACATTCACGTCACTTTGACAGAGAGGGAACTCAGGGATCTGGCCAAGTCAAAGGAGCGTCTTAATGCTGAGTGTGAGGCTGGGGAAGGGTACAGACGCAAGTGTACCTTAGGAGTGTGCCAGGGACCCCATGTGGTGCTGTGGAGCATCTCCTGCGCTCCTGTGGTTTTCCTCCTTTCCTTCATCACCTCCTTCTACTACGGCACGCTCACCTGGTACAACGTCTTCCTGGTGTACAACGAGGAGCGGACGTTCTGGCACAAGATTACCATTTGTCCCTTTCTCATCATCTTCTACCCTGTGCTCATCATGCCATTGGCGTTGTCTCTGGCTCTATACTCAGCCGTGGTGCAGGTGTCCTGGGCCTTCAGTGAGTGGTGGCTGGCAGTGCGAGACCTGGAGAAAGGCTTTTGTGGCTGGGCCTGTGGGAAGCTGGGACTGGAGGACTGCTCCCCCTACAGCATCGTGGAGCTGCTCGACTCCGACACGGTTTCTGGGACTCTGCAGAGCAAGGCACCCAGTGAATTTGCCCAGACGTCATCAGTTTGAGGCGGGGGCATTGCTGATTTGCTGAGCTGTGCAACTGTATTCAAAGGCCTTTTTCACATTTTATCAGGTTACCGCCACAAACTTTAATGGATTTTATTTGAGTTTTATGTGATTAACCAACATAACGTCCACCTTTTGTTGCACTTAAAGCTGCAAGTATTGTATATGTTAACCAGTTTTGCATGTCTAGAGACTTAAATTTTTGTCAATTCTTAAAAAATTAACTCAAGCTTAGTCTGATTAGACAAACAATATCCGTGAATATTTATTTGCAAGTCTTTCTCAGATTCTTTGTTAATTATACCTTTGGACTTTGACAATGTCACTCTCACATGAACATACTCTGATCAGAACCATTCCAGTGTGGCTCTGACTGTATGTTTATGAATATCAACCCTCTCTAAAAGGAACCTCTGCCACACTGTCAAATGTTTTGCAGCTTCTAGCAAGTTTTCTTCTGTATTCAGCTTTTCATCATCTCTGAGCAGGTTCCCTGTTCCTGCTGAAGAAAAGTGACTCCACAGCACAGCGGAGATAGACTACATACGGCTTCAACTCTGGTTTTCTTCTTGTTACTCTGTCAAATTTAAGCCAGATTTGTAATAGTTGCCTCGGCAACAGATTCTCCCTCCTGAGCAGTGGATCTTATTTCTATTTGTTCACTAATGTTCTCTAATTTGAGTTTCCCCAACTCTGGCCCTCAAAGCACATTGCCCGGCATTTTTAAGTGTTTCTCTGCTTCGACAAGCTTGATTTTGATTTACAACTGATTTACAAGCTTTTGCTGAACTGCAATCATCCAAATCAGGGGTTTTAAAAGCAGGAAAACGTCTAAAGCATGCAGGGATGTGTGCCTTGAGTACCAAGATTGATCTAACAAACATCTCAGACATTTAAGTAATTGTTGCATTTATAATGAGATTAGATTACTTAAAACTGAAGCTATTTATCAGTTCTGAATACAGTTTTATTCATGGGCATTACAGTAAGCAGGGATGAATAAAATGTATGCCATACTTTCAGGTTTTTATGTGCAAAAATGTTGAAAACCATGTAGAAATACATTGAAGTTTGTAGTTATTTGGTCAAATGTGAAAAGGTTCAGGAGATTATAATTTTTTTTTACAGGGTCCCCTACTTATGTTGACATAAACAAAATGCCGATGTCATTTTGCCTTTTCATCTTAGATTCAAAACAAGCATGTGGAAGTTTTAATTCGTCAGAAAATATATTTACAGATTTTGGAAATTGTAATTTGACATAATTCCTCCTTTTAGTTGTAAATATATGACTTGATTTGAATCTTATATTTCTTTAATTAAACAGAAAAAGAAGAAAGAAGATTTTCCTCATAATTATTATTTTGTTTTAGAAAAAATGCTTAAAAGCTTTTCAACTACATTTCTTCACTGCGAAGCATAACTCAGTATGCACTGCCCAAACTGTCTTTAGGTGCTGAATTATTCTTGCAAACTCTTATTAAACTATAAGCATAACCGGTTATCAGGGGTTTTTATGGTTCTCAACTTTTGTCATTAAACAGCTACCAGGGATTACTAAACCAATCTCAGAGACTTTTCACTTCACATTGGCCTTGGCTCGGACAGCCATGCCTTTGAGATCCAGTAACACAGAAAACTCAACATCACAACCAAGTTTCACTTGATCTGTAAATATCTGTAATAAACATTTGTGATTGCTGTGCAATGACTTGTGTAACTTCCAAAGCAGCACTCATTTGTTTAAGTCGCTGTAATCACTTGGATGTTATAGAAGAAGCCTCTTACTTAGGAGGCTCTGCATGAACTGTTCCAGTGGGAAAAGACAATATTAACACATTATTGACTGAAACACTATATTGCGTTTTAAAGAGTGTGTTTTCCACCATCGGTTCTCTATTTTGTGATTTTTTATTTTTTTTCTGCATGTTGTCAGTCCAAGTGTGTATGCCTGGCCTAGTAAAAATTATACTTTCCATGTCTGTTTTAGTATCATAGTTTATTTTAAAGTTGTATTATTTATCTACTTTGAACAGTTTTGTTGCAAATGAATGCTCAGTCAACCCTCCTATGCATAGAGACACCTCAATGTTTACCTGTGTAGTTTTGAAATAAGACAAAATTTTGGCTTACTAGTGTAATAATGAGTATTGAGTGATCACTGATGGTCCATGGGAATATGGCGTTATATTTTGAATAATTTTTTTATTCCATTTGCATTCAATTCAGATCAGGAGGATAGCTGGAGTTCCTAAAAATACTTTAAACACAGTGCAGTGTGATCCATTCAAAGTGAATATCCAATACAACTGAAAATAAAAAAAGATTACATGATTATTTCCATTTAAATTATACATTTATCTGCTTTTGTCTACACTCATTTATGCATTATGGGGTTTGGTGATGCGGTAACCGCTGGAAAATAAGGGAGATTTTAGTTACGATGCATTGACTGAAGAGGAAAAAAATCATTTTCAGTATTTGACCTGTCAATCACTGGTCAAACCCAATCAAGAAAAAGATTAACAGATTTGATCAGCCACTACTTTTAACTTCATTTTATTGTCATGTTTTTGTACAATCTAAGCACCATCAAATGAACTGTGTGTGATCTGAATCGTACTGTTTTGTTTCATTTGTAGTTTTCTAGTTGAAAAATCTTGTCAGATTCCCATGTATTCATATTTTATATGTTGTCTTCATTTCCTGATTTATTTCTGTTATCCTTTGACAAGTTGTTTAAGCTACTGTATGTTTTACACTCCCGCACTTTGACATAGACTAGGTGAGTATTGGGTTTAGATGAATCAGATTATTTATATGCTTGGTGAGTCATCTGTTGGGGTGTGTTTGAGAATATGTAACCATGTATGGCCTCCCCTGTCTGGGTATGCTGTTTTTGTTTACAAGGAAAAATAATGGATGTGGTTTGGGACTGAATCTGTTTTCCACATCACTTTTTGCAAATCCACCTAATGGAAAACAAAGAATAAAAAATAAAACAAAGCATTGCATCACTACATTTCAGTGGTGGGATGTTTTCTTACTCTATTCCTCAATTCCTGCTGTAAAACAGTGTCCAGATCTTATTTTCTGTAAATGGATGTACACATTGTTATCTCTGCTGCCTCTCAGCAAGTAGATCCTGGGTTCAAATTCAGGCCACAGCTTCCATTTTCACCGCTGATGTTTGGCTTCCATGTTAGGTTAATTGGTCACTTTAAATTGCCTTGAGGAGGAAGTGTGTGTGTACGTTTGTGTGTGTGTGTGTGTGGGTGTGTGTGTGTGTGTGTGTGTGTGTGTGTGCACATGGTTCTTTGTCCTGCATATTTCTATGTTACCCTTTTTATCAGCTGGCAACCTGCCTAGTCTATTGACTGCTGCAGAAAGGCGCCAGCCTGCAAGAATTAATGCATGGATGGATTCATCTATTCACAAAGAAAAACTGCCGTATTTCACTTCCTTCCACATACGGCTGAATTAATCATTGAAATAGCCATCAACTAATTTGGTAATTAATTAATTTTAAACCATTACACAGACTAATTTTCTAAAAAAAAAAAAAAAAAAGAAGAAGAACTCAGAGCAGTAATTAAGCCAAAACTATACAAAACATATACAAATTTTGAATTTAATATGAATAATACCTTTTTCTGTAAATATGTTCTCCCCATAACTCCTCAAGTAGCATAGATCTGTCTTTATCTGGCTCAAATTATGTAAATAAAAACAAGCTACCAAACACATACAGGAAGTATGTGCTCTAATTCTCAATTTTGTATAATGAAAAACGATCACAATTGCTGGACAACAAAAGTATTTATCACAGTTCAATTTTTAAAATAGATGGTTTGAAGCATTCTTAAAAAAGAGATACTTTTGTCTGTTAATCTGTTTCACTGACGTGTTTATGAAATGCCTTTCTGAGATCAAGTCTCTTGGCAAGTTGAGATTGTTTGTAGCAGTACAAGCACAGCTCCAACATGTGTTTCCCAACCCTGGTTCTCAAGGCACACTGCCCAGCAAGTTGCAGTGTTTCCTTGATTCAGACCGCCTAATTAATGGCTGATCATCAGACTTTTGTTGAATTGTCATCATCTGATTATCAAAGCGGGTACACATGCAGCACATTGTGCCTTGAGAGTCAAGGTGTAGAGAGCCACTTGAAACACAAGAGGGCGTTTGACCTACATCTTGAAAAAAAAAAAAAGATACTGTACGTAAAAAATACGTTGTTAAATGTTGTTAATAGTTACTGATATTTAAACGTTCCCTCAAGCATATAAATAATATTTTTGGGCCCAAAACTCATAGTTTAATATACGAAGATGTAAAACACGAGGGTAGATAGGAACTCTCTGAACCGTTAGTTGTTGCCTTCCGGAATAATAACACAGTAACACCCAGTGACTAAAAGAGGGAAAACGAAGAGGATGGCCGGATCAAAAGTAAGTTTTTTTCTATTTAATGTGTGTTAATTTCTTCAGACCGATGTTAAATGAATGATAACAGGAGGCTCATGTTTAGAAAATACTTTCGGGTATTTTTTTTTTGTTTTTGCTGTTTGAAAATATTAGAAGCTGCTTGTGTTCGGTCAGGTTAGTGTGTTCATTTTGAGGCATGTCTGCCAATCTTTGGTCACGCCTCTAGGTTCAATTTGCTACTCATTTTCATCACGGTGATTTTATGACAATATGCGGTTTTAACATATCGAAAAAAAACAACTTGCACACCAGGTTTAAGCTTGTTTCGTCTTCTGATTAAGAAGAAACAGTGCTGGTTCAGCCTGGTGTAAGTTCACCTGATGGGGAGGAGTTTCAACAGTTATTGGCAGCTTTACAGTGACAGAATGAATATTTGATCTGCTGCAATAAAAAAACGAGGTTTAAACGCACAGTAATAGTTAAAAAGCAGAAAGAAAAGCTGTTTATGACCATTGCGGTGTTTGCTCTGCAGTCAGCCCTGGTTCTCTGCATGGATGTGGGCTTCTCCATGTCCAACTCAGCCCCAGGTGAAGAGCCTCCATTTGCACAGGCGAAAAAAGTCATCCAGAAGTTCGTCCAGCGCCAGGTACAGCAGCACAGTCATCGAACAAGGTATCATCCTCAAAAATAAAACTCTTATCTTTATCCAGTGTTTTTATGTCAGGTTTTTGCAGAGACCAAGGATGAACTGGCTTTGGTTCTGTTTGGCACGGATTCTACCAAAAACCCTTTGGACCAGGATGGGCAATACCAGAACATCACGGTGCATCGTCATCTTATGGTGCCGGACTTTGAGCTGCTAGAGGAGATTGAACATCAGATCCACCCTGAGAATCAGCAGGCTGACTGTATCCTTTGTTGCACTTATTAATTTTGTATGGCTTATTGTTAATGAAATCCCAAAATGGAGTTTCTGAGAAGGTCAAAACCTAGTAGCTCCCTATAAATTTCCCTGTTTCCCCCATTAAATATTTCAGATCCTTCATTGTCTATACCTGCTTGCTAGTTTGGATAACTTTTTTTACTCACATTAAATAAAGTCCATTATTTTTAAAGACAAAAACAGAAAAAAACTGCAAGGAAGGGATGTAATAGTTTTTCATTGATCAATTCAAAAAATGTTATACAAAAATGTCAACCTGCATTACATGCATGAATAACTGCATCAATGCAAAATTTTATGTAGATGAGCATCTTCTTTGCTTTTTCTTTCAAAAGTTCCTTAACTAATGTTTAACAGGGCTGGATGCTCTTGTAGTTTCCATGGATCTTCTCCAAACAGAAACCCAGTAAGAAGCAATGTGTATCTCACTATTTAAAAAAAATAAATGAAGAATCAAAAACCAACATTTTTGGGTGGATTTCATTCTTCGTCATGTCGAAGAGACTAATAGATTGTGATTTTTTTTTTCTTTTTAAGGGGGAAAAAGTGTGATCGCTTCAACATTGTTCTCCTGACTGACCTGAGCACTGAAGCCAGTTCAGACAAGCTGGATGTTATTATTGAGAACTTGAAACGAGCTGGAATCACCCTGCAGTTTTTGTAATACACAGTTTTCTTTTTTTAAAGCATGTCCTTTTTCATATTACTGTAGAGCTTTCTACTTCTCAAGAGAGAAGCTAAATTTCTTCAGATTTGTTTAGTTTAGACTATATACACATATATATTGCATGCTATTATGGCCTTTTATTACTTTGCCTTTACCAACTTGTTCATTTCCAGTTTGCCTTTCCCAGTGGAGGATGAAGAAGAGGGTGGAGGAGATGGGGACGGAACGGGTTCCGGTGACCCTGGTAGGGGCAAAGGTCTCTCCAGGGAACAGCGAAGTGGCCTGGAAATGGTTAAAAACCTCATGCTGAGTCTGGACGAGGAAGAGGGCCTGGAAGAAATTTACACATTCAGGTTGAAGAGTTTCAAAGTTTTTCCTCCAGTTCAAATGTTCTTTCTCATGTCTCATTGGTTTTTTTTTGTTCTCTGTTAATACTTTCACTTCTGAGTCTCACCATCTGACTGCATTTAGGAGTAAATGATCCTTGCATTAGATTTCGTCACACGTTTTTATTTCCATTTGCCTCGATCCTGTTGCAGGAATGCTGTGGAACAGCTGTGTATGTTTAAACGCATTGAAAGGAGACCCATGGCTTGGCCCTGTCAGCTCACCATTGGTAGCTCTCTGTCCATCCGTATCGTTGGCTTCAAAGCGGTAAGTTCACCACAAAGAGAACTTCACTAAAACGCGATTTGCCTGCAGTTTGTTAAAAGCCGGGGACGGGACACAACAAACATTTGTTTGCTTCAGCTGGACTATTTAAAGCAGTGCTTTTACATTTCATATGTTCTTTAGCTATTCTTAAGTGTTATTCCACCTTAATAACAGTCACATAAACCTCACTGTTAAATGTTGCATTTGTCCACCAGGTGACTGAGGAGAAACTGAAGAAAATGTGGATCACAGTCGATGCTCAAACCAACAAGAGAGATGATGTGAAGAGAGAGACTGTTTACTGTCTGGACGACGACAATGAGACAGAGGTGCAGAAGGACGACATTATTCAGGGTGAGGACAATCTAAAGCCTTGGAGAGTGGAATCAGAGCATAAAAGAAAAATAAGAGCCATAAGAGATTATTTTCTTCGTCCTAAAATCTGACAAATTTTATGCTTAAGTTCAAGCCCACCTCTTTTTTTTTGTTACCAGGTTTTCGTTACGGAAGTGACATCGTACCTTTCTCCAAAGTGGATCAGGATCAGATGAAATACAAGCATGATGGGAAGTGCTTTGCTGTTCTGGGCTTCACCAAAAAGAACTTGGTATTTTTCTCTTATTTTTAATCAAGGCCATTACTCAACTTAGCATACTGTTACTCACCTAATCGCCATCTGTAGGTACTTCGCCATCAGTTCATGGGAACACAGGTGGTCAAGATATTTCCTGCACGGGATGATGAGGTAGGGATGGACAGCGCTGGTGTTGAGTTAATGACCACAAGTTGAAGTTGATCTGGTATTTTTGTTTTGTTTTATTTCTTTTCTCTCTGAGCAGCACGCAGGCGTGGCCATGTCGGCTCTGATCCGTGGTCTGGATGAGCTCAACATGGTTGCCATCGTGCGTTACGCCTACGACCGGCGCAGCAATCCTCAAGTGGGCGCTGCATTCCCGTGTATCAAGCCCGAGTATGAGGTCAAGTCATAAACCAAAATACTTTTTCTTATTATTTTCTTCAGCATCTCTCCTTGTATACTTTTAAAATAATGTCTTTGCAGACGCACCATCTTTTTATCTCATGCTCTGACATTAAATCAGTCTAAACTTTTCTGTATTTGTTGGGATATCCAAATTTATAACTATTAGTAAATAATTTGGAAGACCTATTTGTGCTCAAGTTCTAATGGATGTTTCAAGATGTTGCTTCAGTATTTCCACATAATGTTCTTCCATCATGATGCCATTTGTTTTGTAGTGTTTCATCAGATTATGGGTTGTATCTTGAACAATAAGGTCTTTGTCCCTCAGTGCATTCCCAACCTGTGACCTGCTGTTTTTTTTTTGTTTTTTTTTTAATGAGACTTTTTGAGATAGTAGCTTCTTTATACATTAATGGCCTTTCAGGTCATAGTACAAAATGGCACTCTTGATTTCTTTTGTGGTTTTGACTTAAAATACATCACCAGGTGAGCCTCTAATTAGCTCGCTTACAAAGCGATGCTATTATCTTCTTGGCTGAGCTAGTATCTGGAATGATATAAAGTCACAGTGAAGGAGAGAACTGAGTGTGTCTTTTTCTACATTGCATATAAATACTTGCATTCATTGTCATGTATCTCCCTCTGCAGTGCCTGTTATATGTTCAGCTGCCCTTCATGGAAGATCTTTATGGAAGACAGTTTACGTTTCCTTCTCTTGAGAACAACAAGAAGATCGCTCCATCAGGTGCGGCACACACAGAAAGATATACTTTTGCACATTTAAATCTTTCCTTCAGATTTTCAAGAGCAGAACATAAAATCTCCTCACATCCCCTTGTCAACAGATGGCACAGTTGCTTTCGGGTGTATTTGAACTGCTGCAGCTAAAATAATTGACTTAAGGCATATTTAATGTAACTCCTCAGCTGAACAAGCTGAAGCTCCCATTCAGCAGATAACTTTTATTAAATTTTTATTTGATTTTGTGTGAGCCTGGAGAAGCTCTTGGCATCGAGGAGATTTTTTTTTAAAACAGATTATTCACAATTACTGGTTTGACACTTGTGGTTGTACAGCTCAACAGTTACGTGGGTACAGACTGCAGTCTGTCTTCACATATACAGTAATTCTTTGAGGCATTAAAACACAGAAACATTTTTAATTTATGGTGACTCAAGTGTCGCTGCTCAATTCCAGATTTTTTATTGTTAGATGAAGACACTATGATACATTATTCCCAAACCTTTTCCGCCCTTAGTGTGACATACGTACTGAATAATTTACCTCAGAACAGAATCAAACCTGTTTGAGGGAATTTGAAAAGGAAAAAAAAAACAAACATTGAAATAACCTAGTTCTACAATTCCACAAACTCTTAAATGAATACTTTGTGACTGAGTCTGTTGATTTATTTATACACTCAGTCTTATTGGGTGCGCAGCATAAATTACTGTGAATTAGGTGAAGTTTTAAACTGACAGTATTATGTATTTTCCAGGCAAATTCTGCCAATTTATAACACAACCAAGTAAGTGTTGCCCCAAGCTGTTGTAAAAATGCTGACAGAGCTTCTACACAGTCATGAAGAAAATATGAAAGTTTTTGAATATCCAGGTCTGTATATGGGGGGGACTTAAAAGAAGTTTGACTTCAAAGTGGGCAAATATTCTAGATTCGAGCCAAACAGCAATTAATCCTAAAACTCTATTAAAATGTGCTCTAATGAAGTAATCATTTAAGACGGTGCACACATGAACCATTTTTTCCCCATCCTCCCCCCCAAACAATTGTTTGGTTTTTAGTTATTTGTGTCACATTATACGTGAAAAACATCATTTGCTTTGCATGTTATGAAAATCTGCCATTTCAATGGGTGTGATGTGAACACTTCAGATCTGCTGTATTTCCCCTTTATGCACATTCTGAGGTCGACGAGACACTGTTGTTGCTTTATTTTTAAATCACAAAAAGGAACCAAAAAATTATTCTCACACAACTTACACATACTTAAGATTAATTGTTTTGTTAGAAAGTGTTTATTTAGGTAGTTCTTTGTTCTGAAAGAGCAAAGGAAATCTGAATGTTAAGTTGGATATGAAAACCTCAGCTCTGTGATTTCTTTTTGTTCCTTGCTTCCTGTAGAGACGCAGATGTCAGCCATCGACTCTCTCATCGATTCGATGATGCTTGTAACAGAAGACGAAGATTTGCTCAAACCTCACCATCTTCCCAACCCTGCCTTCCAGAGACACTTCCAGGTGCAGTTTGGAAACACTCAATTTAAAAGACAGAGCTCCTACACAGTCTTCAAGAAAATATGGAATTTGCTTCTTTTAATATCTGGGTATGGATTTGTAGGGAAAGAAAAAAAAATAATTAGTATGAATGTTTGGTCATTTTTTTAAAATAAATTTTCCCATCTACCATTTTCTAAAGGACAAATGTCAAATAATGCCTAAGAAATGCTGACTATTTAAATCAATATTAGATTTCCGTGCTTTATCTTTGATTTATTGCATCACATCGATTTAACATTTGTCTACCAATATTTGGGTTTTTCATTAATTGACTGAATCCACACACTTTCAGAATTTAACTACCAGTTCATGAATCTGTGGTACCTAAATTCTGCCTGAAATGCCAAGCAGAGCCCTAAAACTGCTATTTCTAAGAATTTGTTCAAACAATTGAGGAAGGTACCGAAGCTTTAAATAATCTGCATTTAGTGCAGGATAGTCTATGACTTATTTCACAGGTCCAAGAGGTTTTATTTTTAGAGAAATTCTAAAATAGGTTATCTAAGATCGTCCAGACGCCACAAAATCATTGACCCTATAAATGACTCCTAAACTCTGAAGTTCAATTATTTTACTGGCAAATCCACAGAGAAAATGACATGACTAATATTGAAGTAAGTTAACTATTAAGAATTTTGACTGAAACTCCAGAAATGTCTTTAAAGAAATGCTAAAAATATTCAACAAATGAACAATATATATAGAGAAAAGTTTTATTGAGCCCAGGAGAGAGCTTTAAGATTTCATATTCTCACTAAATCTTTATCCCATGTGAAGTGTTGTTTGTCGTTCTGTGATGTGTCACTTTTTATGATGAAGCTTCAACCTCTGGGAGTTTTCCCAACACTTTTTCTTCATGGCTAACTCAGAACTTTTTTCTCGCTCTTTGGCTGAGTCAGTATATTATAACACACACAAAAAGTGAGTGTGTTTCAGTAATTCAGTGTAGAAAGTGAAAATCAAATCTAATACGTTAATGCGGAGATATATTGCAAGCATTTCTTTAGAGAAAAGTTTTATTGAGCCCAGGAGAGAGCTTTAAGATTTCATATTCTCATATGAAATAACCAGCCATAATTATGCTGGTTATGGCTTACAGCTCGTGAAATGTGGTTTTACAGAACATTTGAATATCGCATAAGAATAATTAAAAGAAATGAAATGATCCTCGGGGAGAGTTTTGATATAAGAGTGATCCAGCAGACACCCTCCAAAAGGAGGGTACGTCACAAAAGGCTAGAGTGTAGATGGAAAGTTAAGTGGAAGAAAAAAAAGGTAGTAGACAAAAGAGTGAAGAGGTCAGAGTTCACTGTCATCTTCTGGTTTTGTTTCAATAACTCTAAAGGCAGGGCAGCCTTCCATTAGGAAATCTTACAGCAGCTCATGCTTCCCTCTGTGGATGAACTTTATAGAGACACTGGTTTCATTTTCCAGAAATACCTAGAGCCTCCCCACACTGTTAGAAGTACCAAAACTTTCTAATTTCTAAAACTTCGCTGTACGACAGACATACTTATCAATATTAATAGGAATAAACTTCAGATTTTAGGCAAAATGCATTGTTTGTGTTTATTGTCAACCTTACCCAGCTAGTATCTGACACTGTTTATCCTGGTTTGGTTCTGCCTCACTGAGTCCTGGTTTCAGCTTTTCAAAATCATTTTGTTATTTCAGTGTCTGCACCACAGGGCTGTACACCCCGACTCTCCTCTTCCTCCCATGGAGCCGTGGCTGGAGGCTGCTCTCGATCGCCCTGAGGTCATCCAGGAACGCTGCCAAGCTCCACTGGAGGAGATAAAGAAGTTGTTTCCACTCACCGAAGTAGAGAAGAAAAAGAAGCTGAAGACAAGCGCTCAGATTTTTGGCAAAGAGTGAGTTTGGATTCAGAGTCCTGTTGCAGTCCTGTGTGCAGATCGGTTGTAAAAAACCTTTGTAGAGTAATGCGTGGTATTTTTCACGTCGCAAGATACAGTGATGGATTGTAAACATTCTCCTTTGTGATTCATAGCTCTGAGGAGCCAGATGCCAAGAAAGCAAAAGAAGACGAAGCAGAGGATGAGTATAGCCTGGCAAGCATTGCTGAAGGATCTGTTACTTCTGTACGTATCAGAGGGAACTGGCTGAGTCCTCACAGGCCACATAGGGGTTACATACAGAAAAGCTTAAAGAAGCTTTCATGTCTGGATAAATATAAAAATAATAAGGTGGAAAAATATTTCTATTTTAGACTCGATTCCTGTCCCATTGTCTAAATGTTGTATTCTTCCTTTCTTCTGTCTTTCCTTTCTTGTGTCCTTTATTCTTTCCTGTGATGTGTCCTTTCTTTCTTTCCACCCTTCCTTCTGTATTTTCTTCCTTGGTTATTTACTTGTGTCCTTCCTTCTTTCCTTCTTGGCATCCTTCTGTCCTTGTGTTCTTCCTTCCTTATTTGCTTCCTTCCTTCCTCCCTTCTTTCTTTCTTTCCTCTTTCCTTTCTTCTACTATTATCCCTCTTTCCTTCTTAGTATTTTTGTCCTACTTCCTTCCTTTGTTAGTAGTGTCCTTGCACCTTTTGCACCATATCTTTTAATTCCCTCTTTGTCCTTCAACCTTTTATACTCCCTATCATTCTGTCCCTCCTTCATTTTTAATGTTTTATCTCCTCTATCTTTCCTTCCTTTCATCATTTCTCCTATCTCTCTGTCCCTCCATCTGTCTTGAACTTGAATCATTAAGTCCTACTTACTTCCTTCTCTCCTTCCTTCCTTGTGCCCTTCCATCTTTTCTCCTTTGTATCCTAATTCCCTTCCTTATGTCCTGTCTCTAAGCTTTCCTTCCTTTTACCTTCCTTCATGTCCGGTATCCATCCCTTGTGTCCTACTTTCCCTCTAGTTGAAGGTTTTTCTTCTGGCTTATTTAAAGCCTGCCCACTGTAGAAAATCTACCATAAACCATTGGTGCAGTTTATTATTTTGTGTTTTTAAAAAATGAACAAAACATATTCTGGAACATTGAGTCTGGAAAGTCCAACGCCTGACTTTAACAGATGTGTCTTAAACGAATTTCCACCTCCAACCAGGTGGGAAGCGTCGATCCAGCTCGGGACTTCCGCGCTCTGATCAAACAGAAAACTCTTCCATTCGGAGAAGGTGAGGTCCGGGCTTCCTGTTATTTCTCTGCAGAGCTGATCAGATGAAAATCGGTGTAATATAAACCACCGTGACTCACTCTCAGCCCCTGTAATTATGTTTCTCTCTCTCTCTTTCTCTCTCTCTCTCTCTCTCTCTCTCTGGTTGTGGTGACCCCTGTCTTTTCAGTCTGTCAGCAGCTGACTCACAGGATAGAGCAGCTGCTTAGCAACAAGAACACGCACTACTACATGAAAAGCATCACCTGTATCCAGGCTTTCAGAGAGCAGTCTGTTAAGGTAAATACACATTCACTATCCGACACTTAGGAATGCACGACTACGATGTTCTTTCAAAGTTTGATTGTTCTTCTGAGATTATTAGTGTTGAGATTAAAATGAGTCTGTTTCTTTTCTTGTGACTTGAGCTGAGGCCAATTTTCATAAGCATGTCAGCGTTTGCGAGAGCGCTAAATGGAATTTGAATGTTTTATGTCTTCCATAATTCAGCAGGGGAATGCTGATCTGTTCAACAGTTACCTTCAGTCCCTGAAAAGGAGTATTCCCAGCAGAGCCCTCGAGGTCTTCTGGGACCTGCTTGTTCAAGGTACGATAAGCCTTCTTTTTAAGAGGCTGCAAGGTTTCTGCTAAATTATTTTTCCCCTGAGAAGAGATGAAGCCTCTGCATGATTTGAGTGCCGAACGCTGCTTTAGTTACAGTGCAAGTCTACTGAAGAGTTCGGCGTTTGACTTCTTTGTTTGGGCAGACGCTGTGACTTTGATCAGCAAGGACGAGGTCGAAGGAAGCGCCGTGTCGAAAAGTGAAGCCTCTCAGGTGATTTTAATGCGCATTGATGTTCATATTAATAGTGTGGAATACCGTTGAGAAATTAATTTCTTTCAGTAAGTCAATTCAAAAAGTGAAACTTGTATACAAATGCAGACTAATGAAACACAAGCAACGTATATAAGAAGTATTTATTTTATTTTGGGGATTATGGTTAACAGCAAATGAAAAAAACAATAATCAGTTTTGCAGAAAATGTATTTTTAATATCAGCAATGAATAACAAACAAATCAAAAAAACAAAACTTTGAAAAAAAAATTGTTTTTAAATCGTGATTTCAAGAGAAACAACTTGTCCAAATTAACCTGACCCCATGTGGAAAAGCTTGATTACTGCCAGACTTGCAGAATCTAAAAATCACTTGCATAAGACTTTTCTGACAACATGAAGTAGGCTTTCTACCAAAATTACTCCCAGAACACATCAGTGACTCATCCAGGAGGTCTCAAATAAACCAACATCTAAAGGCCTCACTTGCTTTCGTCAATGTTTCAACAACAAAAAACTAGACTTGGCAGAAACGGCTTCCTTTGGAGAGTTCCAAGGGGAAAAGGCTTTTCGGACCAACAGGAACCCAAATGACTGAACCATGAGTAATGTAAACCCTCCGATGTGACTGAATTAAAACCAATTTAAGAAGAGTAGCTGAAGGCTGAAGTCACGCTGGGCTTTCTTCCTGTTAAAACCCAATTTTCCATTTATTCTATAATTTTCCAATTCATGAGAAACTAAATTTCAAGCTTTTTTTTATTAGCTCTAACCCATAATTATGAAACATAGCAGAAATGAACCCTTTTATTACTGTGAGATACATCACTTTGTTCTAAATCTGTAGCATTCAGGTTTTGTGTTGAAATGCTGCAATATTTAGCTTTCCAAGGATATTTTAAGGTCCTGCAAGTTATTTAGATTGTGTAAACAAACTTTATCAGCCCTTAATACCAGCTGAATCCTGCTTTGTCTGCAGTTTCTGTTGGCTGAGGAAAAGAAAGAACAAGCTGCCCCTGAACCGGTGGAAGACACAGGCGATGTTGATGACTTGGTGAGTATAAAAATGTGTCCTCCAACATCAATCTATGTTCTCTCTTTTTATAGAGATGATTTAGGAATTAGATTAGTGTTAGAACTGTTTCCTCTGCGGTTTTCATGTTGTTGTTTGAGGAGTTGAGCTTTTAGTGCCTCGTTATAAACTCATCAGGCTCATATCTCTTCTCTTTGCTCTCTTCCTGTGCAGCTGGACATGATGTAAGAAAAGAAGCAGGAGGAGTGTTGGCAGAAATCTAAGGAATGTGGTGTTTGAACCCACCCAAAGCAAACTAGTTAAACCGTCCTTTGTCCTGTTCCTTCCACTGGAAGTCCCCATCACTGGGTGTGTTTTAGTTAGCTGTACTTTATTAAACAATTGGCCAAACAACTTACAGAAAACTGCTTAGACCAAAAACTTTGTGTTCACTTTTAAATGTAAAAATCACTATCATTGTATGAGTCTTTTGTAATTCAATTTCCAATGATCTAGTGTACTAAAACCTAACATTCAGAATACTACTGGTTTATTATGTGAAATCAGTGATTTAGAATATGCTTAACAGTAGAGCTTGTGCTTTTTTGGGTGACAAAATATATTAAAATATGATGCTTTGTGATAATAATTGCAAATTGTAGAATGCACAAGTAATAAACAAGTATTTTCTTAAAATAATGAGTATTGTTTTTGTTTGACAGACAATGAACACCAACAGACACTTGTATTCTACACAAAAACCCTCTAAGCCACTGTTCTTGAACCAAATTATTGTACTATATGATACTGTGTAACATATTTGTTGAACAGCTCTAAAAAAGTCTTTAATAAATGTAAGCTTGCTAGCACCTCACCGTCAGACATAAAACACTTAAAAGCTGCATTTGTGTAACATTTCCTTCTTAAAAATTAGGAGAGGACCTTTCAAAACAAAAAGCATAAACGCAACGTATTGCCCTGGATTTATTGCAGACAATGAAGATTCAAGTCTGTGTCACTGAATTTGACTTATGTAAGTCATTAAAGCCCTAATCTTAATATGACATCACAGCCAACTTTCAAAGGAGTTCATGAATTTCCAGGTGTAGTTCTGTTAAAAAGGTTAAAAACAGTTAAAATCTTGCTTGCATTGGATATTTTATATTGTTTTCAATTGGTGTAAATCCACATTAATTGGTCTTAGAGGGTGAATTTAATGGCTAGACAGAGAAAGAACTAAATCAAAACTGATTTTCACCATCTATGGCGCTCAGTGGGTAAGATGTCAGGTGACCCTTGGACAGGTCACAACACATCACCACAGGGAAACAGACTGCACAAGCACTAAAAACAGGAAAATTTGAAGTGACCAAATAACCTGACATTAGATATTTAGCTGTTGAAGGAAACATGTAGATGAAATCCATCCAGAAAAACCCAAACGTACAGGAGGTGGTGTACCGCCTCCAACCTTCGCTTCATGTGAAAATAATATTCAGCTTCTCTATAAATAACTCTTCTATACATGCATGACAACAATTTACAGGGTCATGAAGCATTAACATTAGTTGTCTTCTTGGTCTAAGGCCTCTCGGATTAGCCTTTAGCTTCAGCCTTTTGAGTAACTGGTTATAACCTTTTAACAGAATCACTTAGTTTCAGTTGCTTGATGAAAACAACAGTGGCATTTGCTAATTGTGCCATTAAGGGTAAATTGAATTAAAGTGGCACATATTTCAGTGTTTTATACGTTCAAACTATTTAGAAACATATTAAGGACACTAAGTGTGACTGAGAAGGTATCGCCAAAAAACAAGGCTTAACATTTATTGTTACATTCGAAGCACGAGGCAGCCATATTGGATTTTGAGTTGGTGAAGTAAATAAGAAAGTCGGATTAAAGTGGAACACCAAAGTGCTCTTGGTTTTCCACTTTAACAGATCAGAAAATTTCTGACTCTTAAAGATGGCAGTCAACTATGATATTAGCTCATTTCACCATACAATTAGTATTCGTGTCTGGAGATGAATTTGCAAGCATTTGGAAAAAAATAAATTGCTATACTGGCTATCAAATTAACTTGATGGAAATCATTTACCTTTATTTATTTATGCTTGGTTTTGTTTCAAGGTTGAATTTCTTGCAATTGGAAAACTAAATAGACCATTTTACAGATAAATTGACGCTATCCTAATTTAATATTTTGGTACAAGGAAAAAAGGTCAGGAAAAAACGTTCACCCAAAACAATCTGGGCAGACAATATAGAGGTACCTAAAGTCTTTGCCAGTTATCTCTCACCATTGGCTCATTTCTTTTGTTTCATATTTGAACACAAAGAAAATCAGTGCTGGTAAGAACTGAGTTCTTTAGAAATCTCCTAACCAAATATTTCAGGTTTTGCACATTATTGTTCCTGTTAATTTCTGACTGAGGTGAAATTAGAACAAAGCTAACCTTAATCAGCATTTTTGAGAACAATGGAAGGGTGAATTCAACTTGGATCAACTGTTAAAATGGTCAAGTACAGAGCAGTAGCACCAGTACGACACTCACAATGAGGACGGTCTCTAACACACCCACCTGATGAAACGGTCAAAGAAACTAGGCTGTAACACATCAGAAAATGTCTGACTCTTAAAGATGGCAGTCTGGTCACCCATAACCAACTTTGTTAGGGCTTCTTCATCCACATCACTTCCTGTGGCAATCACAGTGGAAAAGATGTGTTCCGAGGCCATTGCAGAAGCTGCCTTGTCCAGGTTGGTGATATTAGTAACACCATCTGTGATGAAAACAAATGAAACCTCGGCACCACGTCTTGTCTTGCGAGTGGGTCCTTTACCCAAAATCTCATCGATGGCTTTGAAGATGGCAGGTCCCACTGCTGACGAAGCATCAAGATAATGCAAACCTGATAGACCAGAAGTGATAGCCTTCTGGTCGTGTGTAAGAAGAAAGGCCACTTGGTTTTCATTCTCATTGCCAAACTCTGTCAGTGCCAGACGAGCCCCGTTTTGGTCATTTCGGTTCCTGGCCATTGTCAATGCATTTGCGACCATTTGAACAAAATGACGCGCATGGCCAAAGTTTTCCATCCCGAGGCGCTCCGAACCGTCGAGAAGAAACACCAGCTCTACGGGTCGTCCAACACATGGAGCTACATCAAGTTCTGTAACGAAAGAGGTCAGCTTACTCATTGACATTCTCTTCATTTTACCTTTAAACCAATAACCTAACCATAAATAAAACCCACCAGTTTTACAGGGAAGATCTGGACACTTAATCACTGGATCTGGAAAAGTAAACAGACATTCAGTGCAGTTTAGGCAAATACCAAAAGGAGAAAGGATGGAGAGACTTACCAGGGCAGAGAACCGTTTCCATCTTCTGAATGAAGTTGTCAGCCACCAAGTCTGAGTATCGCTTCATCTCAGTGATCCGGTTCTTGTTGTCGCAGGCTATTGATACGAGGGTCTCACTGTCATGTTCCTTGTCAAACATGTCACCAACCCCAATGGCATTCACCACCACGTTGGGGTCATTGCAGAGGTACCTGAGTTTACTGTCATCATCACGAGGGTCGAAGCGGCCGTCTGTCACTACCACTACAGATACATTGGCACGGGCTCTCTTGCTGTCCCTTATTAGGTTGTCATAGGCAAACTTGAGTGCAGAGGGTGTAAATGTGCCCCCAGCAATCCACTGCAGATTCTTCACTGCTGTCTTGAATGAAGACATGGAGTCTATAGAAGGGTCATCGAGTCGTATGGCCTCAAATGTTCCTTCGTGACTGAACTGTACCACTCCAACTCTCGTACCTGAAAAACAGTCACTGTAGATTAATCGTGAGTTGCTAGTATAAGTAAATGGTCTTTCTTTCTAATGGTGAAACTTCTTTAGCTGTTTTCTGTAGATATGTCAATAAAAGGCTTCATTTTTTTTCAATTGAACAATGCTGAAAAGCTACAAAGTTTTCCCATGTCTCTGACCCACAACTGTGGTAGGCTGCTGCATCCCAAGATCTGGTTGAAAACCAGATCTTGGGATGATGCCACAGCTAAGCTGGAGGTTGCAAAACTTGTTAAATTTTCTAAGTGTTTTATCACTGACTACAATTAGCGAGGCAAACTACCAGCTTGTTAATCTCCATTCTGTGCATTTAGACATCAAGATAATTTTTACAAACAAAAATTGTTTGGCACTACATCAGCAGTGGTTAATAAGATAAAAAAGAGTCAGAAATGCAAATAAACTGATTAATCCTGTAACAACTTTCACTGTGGAAACCATATTGAATCTGAATTTGGAGTTAGTGGGCGACCTCTAATGTTCAAATCCAAGATTCCCCCTTCAGGGTTCACTCTGTTTCATTTTTCAAGCATGAAACCTGGAAATTACAACTTCTGAGTAGAACTCTAAGATAGTGTTAAAAGTGAAAAAACCCAAAATGCTACACACATTGTTGTACTTTTGATACAGAATGACGAAAAGCTACAATATTTTGCACAAGAATCATGTTTACCTGAAAACTACTCCTAAATTTAGCTGTTGTTGTACATTCAAAATAACCTATAAGTTTTATGTAAACTGTCATTACAACTGTAACAATCAATATGTTATTTTCTTTTAGACATAGTACTCAGGAATCATATGATACTGAGTTGTTGTTGTTTGTTTAAAGATGTTGAAGCCAATGATAATTTAGATGTAGTTTAACATTTTGTGGAACTAACAGCAAAGTTTTAATGTAACATTAGGTGGGAAAACAATAGGCTCTCACTTTCAAATCACTGAAACATTCCCAACAGTTGGACACATGATCGCCGTGTTGATTTTCCTTTAGAAAAGGATTGAATGTTATTTCTGTGGACTGTACCGGTTGGAGATGTGGGGTCAGAGGCCATTGATCCCATCCTGTTGATGGTGTTGATAACAAAGTTCTTTTCCAGGGTGAAGTTGGTCATCCCGACGCTCTCAGAGCTGTCAATTACAAAGACAATGTCCAGAGCGCCGCAGTGTTTCTCACAGTCTGAGTGAAAAAAAAAAGGAAAAAAAAAATACAACAAGTGGCTCAGCATGTTTAAAGATGATAACTGCAAAGCTGTGTTGGAATGAGGATCACATCTCTCTGCCTACCACAACAACCACAAGTCTCCCTGATGTACGTCATAACATCACAGTCCTGGAGTTACATTAAGACGGGTTAGAGGCATTCAATTTAAGAGAATATAAAGAGCCTACTTTTATTCATGGTATTTTTCAGTTTGACTTACAGTGAGCCCAGGATCCCCAGCTGGCCCTGGTGCCCCCTGCACAAGCACATGATAAAGACATAGCGGAGATATTGGATCTGAAATCCTTATGCATGGTCAGGTAATTACTGAAGTGGTTTCACTGATGCTTCTTACATCTTTTCCAGGGTCTCCCAGCGGTCCTCTCTCTCCTGGCTCTCCTGGCTGGCCTGGTTCACCCTGAATGTAGAATATTTTTCTGGTGAAGTGACTCATTCCTCATACCAAGCAAGTTTTAAGTAGTAGTGACTCATTCTCTGCATATGTGTAAAGTGTTCAGCTAAAGTCTTTTTTTTACAGAAGGTGGGGAGTTGTGGTCATTGATTTTGCTCCTTATTTGAAGAAATACTGCACTGTTCATGAACTACACATGAAGATAAATTGCATCTGTTTCATTGCAAAAAATATCACAAAGAAACAGATGGCAGTAATGACGATGACGATGACGACGATGATGATGATGATCTCTGGGGCTCCTTTTTTTTTCATTTCTAAAAAAGAAGCTCCACAGTGTTTTCTGTCTTTTTTTTAATGACTCTTTTATGTTTCTTCTTCCGTGATAATATTTAAATTTTCTATTTCCTCCTGAATAATCCTGACAGTGAGACTCGGTTTCTAAACAGTCTCTTTCCTCAAAACTATGTATTTTAATTACATTTTTTTTCTACATAATCTTGTGAAATACTCAGCCAATTGTAAATATGTTTTGAAAAATGTATGCGACACACAAATTATGTGAAAAAGTATGTTCCTCTCTAAAGACTTCTTCAGCTTTTTTGGTCACAATAAATGTTTCAGATACTGAAACCAACCTGGATCTATGGGATAAGATAACTACTCCTCCTTTTAAATCATGAATTAACTGACAAAATGGAATGAAATTGAGAAGTCACTTAAATAGAAACTGCATGACAACATGAAGTAGGCTAAAACATCTCAAATAGCAACACGTCAATCTCTGATCTAAAGAAATTCAATAGCAGAGGACTCTGAAATCTGTCAATCTGGGAATGGCTGCAAAGTCATTTTTTAAGTCTTTGAAACTCCAGTAATGGACAAAGGATTAATTGCAAAACATCTTGCCAATAATATTAGTCAATATTAATTGACGTTAGTAATATTTTTTACCTGTAAGATTGTATAAAGGCCAGCCACGAGAGTTAAAATACAAATTTTGTGATCTTATAGTGGTTGTCCAGTAGGTGGCTGCATATGGAGTGGCAAAGTAAAGTCCAGTGAAATAGTTTTTGTGCAAGTCTACATCGGCACCAAAAACGAAATGACGGCCTTTGATTAACTGGCCACTGTAGTAACTATTCTTTTAGGAAAGATGTATTTAAGTGACCTTTTAAGTTGAAATGAAGGCAGAAGACATTTTACTGTGGTGGACGAATCTTGCAGAAAAATGAAACATCAATACTTTTGAAAAACAGAAAAAAGACCTAAATCAAGTCTGTTTTACAAAATCTCAGTAGCTTCTTCAAGTGCATACATTTTCCTGTTTGTTAAATCATTTTTTCTTTTATGTAACTTCTTTGGTGTGAAAGTAGAATTTTCATGAATATATTCATGTAGACATTCAAAGTTATCTTTAGGGACGGATCAAAAAAACAAATGCATTATCAGTTTTAAAAACTCCATTAAAGCAAAATCATTTTTTGAGTTAAAATACTTAACATGGCCCTGAAACTTGATTGCTACACTGATGTACATAGTTTCATTCAGTACTTATTCTGCTGTGTGCATTCAGCGGTCCAGGTACTTGAGGCAGAACAGTCTGCACAGCATTCATTTTTGAGATAAGAGTTTTCCCCTGTTTCAGCAGAACCGCATAAACATTAGTTTCAGCTTATCTGCTCAGCATCTCTGTTTAAACCCTAAATTGCCCTTCCATTAAAACCATTGTGTCTTCATTCTTACAGGCTCTCCTGGTGATCCTTTGGCTCCCGGCTCCCCTTTTGCACCGCATTCACCTCTGCCCCCTCTGGGTCCTCTCTTGCCCGGATCTCCTCTCTCTCCCTGCAAAACACAGAATTCACATTTACTCGTGGATCTAAAACCTGGAGGAAATCTTATGACGTGAACAGAAAAAAAAATCATACTGTTGGTCCTCTTGGTCCAGGGTAGCTGAATCCTGGTCTTCCATTGTCTCCCTTTAAAACAGGACAGTGTTGAATGTTAAATGCTATATACAAAGAATAGGTTTTGGTTATTAGTGCTTTAATAGCATCACTTCATTTCTCCAATATAAATAAAAAATTCACAATTAGGGATTTTTTATTTTTTATTTATTTTTTTTATTTTTTTGGAGTAAATGAGTGCCAAAACAGAATTTTGTCAACAGACAAATCTCTTTAGATTTTTCTATAGAGAACATTCTAAGAGGATATGTTGCTACTTATTGTAGGGAAGCAGTACAGGATGGAGTGAACACTCTTACGTTCCCCAAGGTCTTAACCATGCTGGAAAATTGAGTAAACTTTACGAACATAAGGTGTGGGAACTAACTTTGCCCCACTTTTTGTCACAAGATTATGAATCTTTTGCTGGATAATCATGACTTTAAAAAAAAAAAAAGCATCACAAGGGAAAGAGTTTGTATAACCACTCGGTTCAAGGAGATTGACCTATAAGTCAGCAGTCAGACCCTGGAACAACCATAAGTGATGAGTAGACATCACTTTTTAGCATCAGGTGCTAAAATAAAATCATGTTTACATGTGAAATTAGCTGAGTTTTGAAAATATAGATTTTTAAAAACAGACTGACTATTTATGAGCATCCAACACTCAAAACTAGATTTGAAAATCCACCTTAGCAACATGCCCAGTCCAAATTACTGCCTCCAGGCTTTTTCCTCTTCACCGGAAATATAACCACATACATTTTCATTAAATTTAAGCTGAAGACTCTCATTTCTTTCTTCCTGGTGGCCATTGTGATGGGAAAGTTTAAGTTTTCCTTATGCATACTAGTTTTTCAGAGTGGTAAACATCTGAATACAGTTCCCAAAGTCGGTCCTGGAGGGCCGGCATCCTGCATGTTTTAGTTCTCTCCCTGGTTTAACGCACCTGGATCAAATGATGGCTCGTTAGAAGAGGAACATTGACCTGCTGAAAAGGTTGTTACTACCACCAGGGAGAGAACTAAAATGTGCAGGATACCGGCCCTTCAGGACCGACTTTGGGCACCCCTGAAAGACTTCCAAATAATACTGTTAAAATGCCATTAAATTTAAAAAGTGTAAAATCTACACTACTACTAAAATTACATTTAGAGTTAAAACTTGATCTACTTACCTGCGGTCCAGGTGGTCCAGGGTTTCCTCTCAGTCCGGCGTCTCCAGGAGGCCCCACTATGCCCTACAAAGGTTAAAGGTTAATGGCTCCATCAGCTCATGAACTTTAACTATTAATCTGTGAATAATAATGATGATATTATGAACTGCACACATTTCCTCCAACGCTGCCTGGTTCTCCTGGCCAACCCCTTGGTCCTGGTAGTCCTTGGTCTCCCTGAAAACATTAAAGGAAATGCTTTCACTGGACCTAACCTTGACTCTGCCCCCCACACACAGAATTACTCTTGTGGATGGGAATTTGGCAGTGGACAATGCAGGCCAAATCATTTCAAAAGGATTGTGTTTTCTCCAGAGAAGGACCTCTTTTTTTTTTTTCCTGAGCTGGAGTTGTTTTGTTGGTTTTGTTATATGATGTGTAACAAGGCTCTGGGTTGTCTCTCCGGCCAAAGCCCACCCACACTGTGATCCTCTCACCTTCGCACCCTTAACTCCAGCCTCCCCAGGTCGACCTCTGTCCCCCGACGCTCCTCGATCTCCCTTCAAAGAAATATTGCGTGAGAATTTTAAATCATAAATAATTGCTTAATCTGAATAAAGAAATGGGAGCAAAACAAGATTCTTCCTCAGAATTCAAAGAAATGATCTGATGCATTGCATAACTAAATCATGACAGGAGGGGTTTCTGCTCTCTGGGAGTGTGGAGTGGTGCAGAAAATGTGAAAAACATGATATTTTCTGTACTTCTACAGCTGAAAACTCATGTCAACAGAATTTCATGCTGTTTGTCAGTATTTCAAAAGATTAACAGAGTTTCAGATCACCAGCAGAAACCCTCCTTCCTTCATGATCTTTGCTTTTTTTTTTTTTTTAAACACTCCATAGTTTACCGAGACACTCTGCAGTAGAAGTTCTTTAGTATTTACTTTAGGTTTTGGGTTTCTTAACTTTTCTCAGTTTGAAAAAGGAATAGATCTGCTTTAAAAATCCAAAACTTTAAACGTCATCACCTTTGGTCCTGGGGCCCCATCTTGTCCTGGTGCCCCCTTCCTTCCAGGATCTCCTCTCCTGCCCTGTAGACGTATGATAAAATATGAATGTCGACATTTTACAACTCAGAAACAAAACTTTTAAATAGTGCTTAAAATACCAGTTCGCCCTTAAGTCCTGGTTTGCCACTGATCCCCTGAAAGGAATACAAATGTACTATAAGAGTCATCACTCTACCATTAATTTATGTGGTAGGACATTTAAATAAATCTATGATACATACGGGAAACCCTCTTTCTCCAGGTGGTCCTGGATTGCCAGGATGTCCCTTTTCACCCTAGGAAATGGTAAGTCAGGTTAGTGGCTGCATTTTTTCGTCATTCTGCTGTGTGTCAAACTAAAACTTACGGTTAGTCCTGGATTTCCCACAGGACCTGGGGGGCCATTCTTCCCAGGCAGACCTATATCACCCTGAATCAACAAAAACAATGACACAGTTAGACTAAAACACTGGACATGGACATAGAGAATACTGAATATGGCTGCTTGGTTAAAGAATTCATTTCACCGTGTTTTGAAGATGTTGATATTTTCAAATGGTAAAATAGTAAATAAATCACATTATGCCTTTCCTTTGGTTTTCAAAGCACAAAAGTAGTGTTAAAGCACACTTTTATTTTCTGAAAGAAAAAAGCTGCTTGAGTCATGCTCACAAAAACAGGAAGACGTTGCCATATACAGGGGAAAATGTTGTATCCTTTCCAGCTGCAATAATCGTCTCTGTGCACGTAAACACAAGTGAGAAGGATGGATCCCTCCTTATATGCCCAAACAGTTACTAATAATATAGTAAAATTTAGGAACATTGCTTTTTCCCACATGTCTGAACCAAAGGAGCCAGATAAGAAAAAAAAACAGTCGATTGCAGATGTTATTTTTTCTACACTGGGACTTTTTAGTGAAACTATTACAACCTTTGTTTCCAGATTCCTTCAAAAATATGTTTTTTGCTAAGTAGTGTGTTACATGAATACTCAATGCTGGTTTGTCACTCCAGTATGAGATCTATTTTGCACCTGAATGACCTAAAAGTCAGAGTTAAGTGGCTTGAAAAATTAACAAAACATTCCTCCCTAAATGATCAGAATCTGGACGAAAAAAGCAACCAAGCTCCAAAGAAAAACTCTGAAATACCTTCAAAAAATGATGAGCCACACAAAAGTATTGAAGGATGTCACCAAATGTACAATATCATACTGCACATGCGTATAACGTTTTAGAAAACACATATATACGCTGTGGATAGTTTATTCACAAAGCTGAAATCTGTAATTGAAGAAAGTTTGAAGGTACTGGTTCGTATTAACAAGGTGAACTCCTGCAGGTTTGCAAGAATAATTTTGACAGTTAATTTAGTTGTTTAATTTGAGACATTTCTTCTGCTTTAACAGATGTCCTTGCATATATTTGCATGCTTTTTTTTTTTTTTTTTTGCTGCTTGAGTAAACTGTTAACATGCTCCTTTTGCTTCAATACACTGGAGTTTGCTTATGTGACACATGATCTTTCAAAGGTTGTGCTCAAACTGGAAATTTCCTTTCTGCCTATTAAACAAGTGAAGATCCCCATAAAAAGTTGATGGTCCAGGCTGCTATTCCAACATCCTGACTGTTTCACTGTGAATCCAACAAATTCTGACTCCACAGGCTTGCTTTATTTTTGAGCTGTTCTTTTTTTTCTTTTTTTTTTTTACACTTTTACTTTGTCTTTTTCCGGACTAAAATTGCATAAACTTAGACGTCTTTTTCACACCTTTTCTCCCTTTTTTCCAGATAATCCAGAGTCACCAGGGTCTCCTGGGAGTCCATCTGGTCCCTTTAAAAACAGGCATTGAATGAGACAGACATCTGTGGATGATTAATGATAAAGTAAAACACCATCTGATTGATCTATATGTGCAACATGGTAGAAGTGATTGTGTTCTTTCTTGCGGTAACGAGATCAATACTCAAGAACAGATTTCAGTAAAAGCCACAAGACTCACCTTTTCCCCTGGATCACCTTTGCAGCCAGGAGCTCCAATTCGACCAATTTTACCCTGAAATTTCCACAGGTCAGAGAACATGTCTATAGCATCCCGTGCCTTGAAAAAGTAACATGCGTCGCCACTTACCTTTTGTCCATCTGTTCCGTTCCTTCCCCGTGAACCCACCGCACCCTGCAAGAAACAACAAATACAGTTAATCTTCAGGGTCTGGAAACGAGTGGTGTAGCCAAGCATTAAAATGTTACTATACCTTTGCTCCAATTAATCCAATTTCACCCTGTTTGAATGAAAAAAAAAAAAAAAAGTCATTACAGCTGGTATTTTCTATCTCTCACTGGCACATAATCAGAAAGCTTAGGAAAATATCACCTTTTCACCTTTAAAACCAGTTTTTCCCTGAGGGCAAAGAAGAAGGGACAAATTATTAAGATAAATAAATGATCAACTTATAAATATTTGGTGAGGTTCACCAAACCTTTTGACCAGGTAGTCCAATTGAACCTTCAATCCCAGGATCACCCTGAATTGGAACATTTTATTTAAAAGTGAGCTGTCATTGAAGATAAAATAATAATAATAAAATAAAATCACAAGTTGTTGTTTTTTTTTTTACTAGGTTTGACGTATTCTCAGGCATACCTGGTTACCTTTATGACCTTTTGGTCCTTTGATGCCTCTGTCACCTTTAATGCCCTAGAAAAATAAGAGCAAAATGAACGTTTTTGCAAAGCAAAACAGGAGACAAAACATGAAAACTAGCGTAGCACTAATCATACTGACTTTTGGACCCGAGGCCCCTTTTCGTCCCGGGTTCCCAGGGACTGCAAGGCATGTAGGTTTATAACACTGCAAGTAGAAAAAGAGCAAAAATAAATTAATTACTAATAAATAAACAAAATATTATTTCAAAATGTAATTTCAAAATGAAAAAGAATTTGACACAGTAGCAGTTTCTAAAGGTTTTTGTTTTAAGGATGTTCTGCGCTAAGCGTTGGTTTGTGTGCTTATAGGGGATGAATGTTTTGCTTCAAAATAAAAATTGCCTGGTATCTCTACTGTTCAATTATAATGATATAAACTAAGTAAATGTTTCCACATTAAATGTTCTACATACATTTACGTTTTAATTCCTGATTAGAAACTATGTTCTCTCTTTTTTCAACAAAATATGAGCAAATAATCCACAAGCAGGTCTTCTGTTGGTGTAGGTTGGCTTTTGTCAAATGCTCTGTTATTTTCTTCTATAGACTCATTGCATGTTTTCGTTTTGAATCTGAATATCTGAACATCTGCAACAGACTGGTTGGCAGAAGGAACCCCTCAGGGCACCATGGGTTCAGTGCCGAGACATAGCTGGAAAAACAATTATTGCTCTGAGGCGCCATTGCTTTTTGAAGGATATTGTACTGAACAAGTTGAGGTGATAGATTGCTGGATTCATGTCAGTTCATGACCACTCAGAGGTTCATCAACAGGTGGACAAAGGGTTTGTGTCAGCATGTTTGATTGCTTTGTGTTATACATCACCAAATGAGAACCATCTTTATTGGCCACATTTGCGCACAGGAACAAGAAATTTAACTTTGGTTCCACTTTTTAAACAATATACAAACTTTTCAAATATAATGATGAAAAATATGGTATGTATGTACAGTGTTTTTTGAAAAAAGAAAAACACTATACATGCAAATTATAGAACACAAGAGGTCTAAGCATAAGAATATAAAGGAGATTTTGTGAAACATCCTGTTAACTCTTTGAACTATGCTTTCTTGTTGTGAGTGATGTATGTGTATTGGGATCAAGGATGTGGAATTCATTGCATTCTGCTGCATGAGGATGGGGTTTGTTTCTTTTTCCTATGACATCACCCTCTAGTTTTATTTTATTAATACTTTGGGATCATTCAAATGTCTGGCAATGAAATGTCATTATTTTGAAAGTAGATCAGGTCCTTAGCTTCGGTTTCAAGCATCTGGCACACTGAGGTGATAGAAATCAGTGCAGACAGCACAATGTGGTGAGGGATTAAACCATGCTGAGTCACAGTTGAGTGGATTCTCTCGAAGTTGCAAACACATTAAATGTACACGGCGTGTGTGACCCGCAGTGCTTGTGTAGAAGAGTTGTTCAACAAATCCAAAAACCTGTGGCAGCCTGGGTTACCTGGTGATCATATTGTGTCTACTACAGTGTTCGGTGCAGAGTAAGGTGATGCTGATGTGGTGTTTTTCTATGGCATCACGTCTTCCTGTGCCATATGTTTTAAGATTTAGAAGAGCTAGCTCATTTGTGAAAACAGTGGTGATCCCAATTCAAAATGTTTGACCAACCTCATTAATCTTTGATGCGCCTTGAACAGAAGAACAAATTTTTCATGAGCATAACGTTGGGTAAGTTAGACTAAGAAACTACTTGTGGATTGAAGCTTTCATTGTTTATACATTTAAAAGCACATTGGATTTTTCAGTTGAGCTATATATTTTTACAAGCTGTAGCTATATCTCCAAGGACAAATTATTATTGCTCAATAAATTAGTAAAAAAAAAAAAGAAAAAAAAAGAAAATGCCATGATGAGATGAGTTCTAACACGCTTTTTGGAGGTCATTAAAGTTTTATTAATCTGTGTAAATATGACAGATTCAAATCAATGCATATTAACTCTAGTGAACTCTAGCAGGTAGTTATTTAAGTTCAATATTAGAGAAGGGATTCAAAATCATTAGGTAAACAGATAAAGGAACGGTTTCTTCAAAACCTTGGGACTAGAACAAATGAAGCGACGTTTTAGTGGAGCAATCTTTTTTTTTTTTTTTCTCAATTGTCTTACCTGTAGATATGCTTGATATTTCTGCAAAACAAAAACAGCAGTCAGTCAGGCAATTTTCTTCTACCAATAAAATCTTATAAAAGTATTTAGAAAAAATAGGATCTCAGATCACCATGACTTTGATGATGCGATCAATAGTTTCAGTGTTCATCCTCGGTCTTCCATTAACGATCTCCATGACTATGTAATCGTCTCGGTACACCTCTGTGGGTGAGCTGGCTATCTCCATCATCCCTAGTTCATCGATGCTTGTGGAGGCTGCTACTGAAAACATGTGGATCCCTTGATCCCGAGCCCTGTCGCCTGCCACCTTGATGCCCCCGCATGGACTCCCCGTCACATGACCGTCTGTGATGACCACTGAGAACAGGACAGCCTGTTTCCCTGAGTACGTCATCTGGCGGGTCATATTTGTGAGAGCGCAGTCGATGTAGGTGCCTTTGCCCAGGTATTTTATCTGACTGAGATTCCTGATGAAGCTCTGTCTGGTCGTGAACTGACTGAACAACACCTGCTTCTGAGAGAAGTGCAATCCCCCAAAGGACCAAGTGATCTGGATCTGGCCTCTGTACTCCTCGTCTTCGAGTTTCTGGGCGAATATCTTCATGAACTCCTTGATGCTCTCCACCAGACTGCCTGGCGGTGATTCCTGCAGGGCGATGGTCTCTGACGTGTCAATGGTGAAAAACAGCTTGATGGGACAGTCGATGATCGTTGCTGGACAGGAGGACGCCAACAAAAATGTAAATAAGTTGCAAATGTTTGTCAACATTAATGAGAGATAAGGTACGAATTAGGCAAGATGCAGTGTAATTTTTGATGCTCCACAAAAAAATTTAACTAGGGTTCCTACACACTTTTTATGTCAAAATTGCACACTTTTCCAGACCAAATATTCGAAAATGCAAAGTTCTTATATGCAAATGCAAAAGTTAATAGTAAGTCCATGGCAGATATGTTTTCAGTGGTCAGAAATTGAACATGAAACCTGCAAAAAAAGAAAAAAAGACTAGAAGATAGGAAACAATAAACAAAGAATAGCAGATGGTGGACAAACAGATGTAGTGATGGATAGAATAATGAACGGATTGATGATTAGATAGCTGCATGAATGAATAGCAGATGAACACATTATGTATAATTATCAGTACCATGAAGAAACATGGATGAATGAATCGATGGAATGATGGGGAAAAAACTAGCAGAATGAGACAGAATGAAGTTTGAAAATCCAATTATTTTTCAAGAACCATAAAATTCCTAAATTTCACTTTCATGCCTTTTCATACTGCTGGGCTGCGAAGGAAACTTCCATTAAAGACTCTGCAACTTTTATGCTATTAGAATTTTTTGCATGAAAATGAAAGTGCATATAATGCATGCAAAGATTTGAAAAGGTCCATTTTCATTGTGAGTCTCGGAACATCAGTCTGTTCAAAACAAGCTTTGTGTTCCTGGTTTAAAATGAGCTCAGCCTCAAGGTGACAGAGCATTACAAGCTGCTCTTAGGCATTAATGTGAATCATCTAATAAATTACAGCATAAATAAGGCCTTTTCACATTCACATAACTCAGACTCTTTTGTCTGGTTAAATTACAGTAATTTCACATCCACAGGATGCAATTAATGCTGTTTTGCAAAGTGTTAGAGAAGCAGACGAGCGCCTCCTTCATCCTTCTTTACCGTCTCTATTTCATGTTCAGTTGTGCTCGAACTTTATTGCACTTTTAACCCATCTACATTTTTATTTCCACTGGAAATTAAATATAAATCAAAACGACCTCAAGCCCTTCAAGGCAAATCCAGAAAAGTGGATATTGCAGTTTCCTGACCTAAAATTAAATTAAAATAACTCACTCTCACAACCTTCTGGTCTTGGTGTGGGCTCTGGCGGCAGCGGAGCCAGCGTTGGTTCCGGACTGTCACCTCGTCCAGGTACGGGCCTGGGTCCTCGAGGGGGAGCAGGTTGAGGCGATGCGGCTCGGAACACCGTCAGAATGACGACCCACAAAATCATCGGCGCGACTGAATTGATTCCAGTCATTTTTTTTCCTGAAACACAGCAGCTGCTGTGTGTCAGCTTTCTAATCCAAAGCTCTGTTTTAGTGCAGGAAGTTACTGTCAGAGAAGTGAGACTCCACAGAGGACGTCTCAGGGGAGCTTACAAATGTTTATTGCAGTTTCAGACAGTGTTAACAAAATGTCTCTTGATATTTATGTCCACATTTATCTGTTTTGAGAAAACAGGAATTCCTTAACAACGTGGAATTCTGTTTGAAAAAAACAGTCTCAGCTTGTATGTGCTATCTGATAAGAATTTATAAATAAAATGTGGCGAGGAACATTTTGGCTGGAGTTAAGTACTATGATGTGAGTCAACATCAACAAGCAACAAACAAAGTAACGAGCTGATGGGAGGCTGTTGCATTTTTTCCTAGTGTTCTGTCAGAACAGATGTTCCAAAGTCAGATGATCAAACCGATGGTGGTCAAAGATACAAGCAAAGAACTAACAGATGCAAAAGCCCTTTCTGTGTGTTCACAACTTGAGAATTAAATCACTTTTAACCGCTCGACTGAATCTTCTTCTCTTTTTTTATTGCTCGAAGCATGACTGAGAAAATACACACTCACATTCTCCAGCCAATGTTCTGTAACCATTTTAAGTGATGGTCAATTGTTTCAAATAAACAGCGTTATTTCTTTTTGAAAATACTTTTCTTTACACAATAAAAAAAAACAAAAAAACATGATGATCAGGAAACAGGTTAAGACATACCACAAGAAAATGTAATAAATATCTTAATTTAAAGTTTACACAGTCATTCCATATTTCTTAATGTGGCAGAACAGCAAACCACTAAACTTTGCTAAGTTCTGTGAACATCTGAGATCCCATCTAAAACACTTGTATCTGTCTTTTTTAATGGTTCAAACTCTGAATTAACCTTAATATGCATTAATTATGCAATAGCACTACTAACAAAGCTAACATCAGCAGTTTTCCTTTTATCTGCTCTTGAGGGTACAGCCAATCTGCATTAAGGAAAATAAATATCACTCCTGGATTGGTTGTTTTCAAAACACCAGTCAAAAAGATAAGGGATAAGATATGCTCTCTTAAACAAAGTCCATTAGTAGACAGGTTTTCCACAAATTGATTACAGTCATGTTCCACAGAAAAATCAGCAAATACTGAACAGGTGAAGGCTGGGAGAACTATTTCAACAACACCATTGTTGAAAACTACCAAACAAGCCCACGGCAGTGAATTACAGGCAAAAAATTCCTCAAACAGGAAAAAAAAAGATAAATAAGTCATAAACTATCTCACAACTTTTCATGTAAACAGACTCAGTGAGCTTACTACTTTTCCAACTTCCTATAACACCCGGCTGTGGTGCAGTGTTAATGCTAGCATATAAACAAACAGGAACAATAAACCATACCACCTGTTTCAACAGTCGCCTCTGCCAGCATGTTCATAAAAAAAACAACAAAAAACTAACAAATCAGGTGACAAATTAACAATTCGATCAAATTTGCTTCATTTTTTTACCTGATTTCTGTGAATCTCTATTTTGGTAACATGAATCAAGCAGACTTCTCCACCCTGACCACACCCACACTTTGTTGCTCGTACAGAAATGCTTTTAAACAAAACAAAAATGTAAACAGAAACTTAATTATGAAAGAACTGCAAGATTTAGCAGTGCCATCCCTAAAACATAGTCCCTGACTCTACAATTTAGACTCTTGTTCCCATAAGTTGTGACCTTATTTTCTGAAATTCAAATGACTTTTGTTTTTCAGTTTGTAGAGTAACATCAAATGTATTCACTCACCTCTCTAAGATAATCTTTATTAATAAAGTTGCCTCTGTGCTTGTATAGCCTCAGTTAAACTAATCTAAGCAACAACAACAACAACAAGAAAAAGTAAAATAGGGTAAAGACTTCTTACCTCGGCAACAGCACACAAAGAATGTAAACTCCAAACTGAGTCAGGAAATTCAAGCAATCTCCACAGACTACAAAGTCCAGATAATCATCTCAATCGGAAAGTTCCCATATCAGCAGATTCATCCGGGGTCAGCCTCCGGTTGGGGAGAGCTGCACTGGAGAGAGACGTTTGGATGAAAGCTTATTGTGTGGGACAACAGCTGGACAGCGGCAGCAGCACAAGCTGCAACACAAAGACTCGGTTCTGCAGACTTGAAGTGGATTTGGGTGAATACAGCATGCTGGAACGAACCATCTATCAACAGAATCTGACAGAACACGTGTCAGATCGCAGACTGATGCTCTGCTTTTACAAACACATCAACTCCCACTGCTGCATATCCTTACATGGAGAGAACAGCTCACACTCACTCCCTGTTTATATCTCTACGTTAAACAGCATGGGAGATGTCATCCCGGAATCCAGGCACTGCTGTACATGGAAAAAAAAAAAAAAAAAGAAGATAATTTTACAGATTAAGAAACTCTTATTTGATTAGTCAGTCCAGATGTGCACACAACCACGCAAATAGTTTGAATTTCTGAAATTATTTTAGGGCACAAAAGTTTTATGTCTTATGGACAAGATCATATTTTATGTCCTTTTTTTAAATATTGTGAAGATATTTTACATTTTGTTCTGTACAAGTTAGGATGTAATCTTAGGATATAATATTCTCATTTGAAATATCCCAACATGTCAAATGGATCAAAATAAATTTGACAGAATTTTTAGCTTAATAAAAATCTAAACAAATAATACACATGGCATTGCTTATTTATTAAGAAATTAATACAATCTACATGTGTACCTGTAAGGATCTTTTTTTTTGTTGTTGATTATTACTTTTAGTATTTATCTGTAGGAACCTCTAATTTAAATATGACATTGTGAACAATTGTTTTATTTGTTGATGTGGTCTTAATCTCCCCTGAATGTCTTTTCCACATTCATATTAAGGTTCAAGAAATGTGTGTTAGTTCAAATACGACAGGAATTTAAACTTCTTTTTTATTTTTTAATAGTAATGTGTTAGGCTAACCAAAACTGAATTCCTCCAAAACCGCTGCAAAAATATCAAAGGACTCTACTTTAGCTGCAGCAGCACAAGCTTTCTTCTCACCACTATAAGATATGACATCAATTTTTCATTGTCTCTTGAAGGACACTTTTTTTTTTACATTTTTTATTCACAGTCATACTCTGTGGAGAGATTAATACAGATGACCTGCCTGTATTTTCATGCCCCTGTGATTTTATTCATAATTTAATGAATCAAGAATGAATCAAGGACAGGGACATGTCCTCTCTGCAGAAACTGCGACCCTCCGTTGTCCTCCGTAGATTGAAACTTTGTGCTTCATTTAACCAAAGTATTTTAAAGCAATTACGGATGTGCTCTGGTGAAAGAAGCTATAAGAAACACTCTCAGACTCTGGAGTGGGTGAGTACGCAGTGGGTTTTCTGAACCCGGACACCTACCATTAGGATGACCATTTCACACTGAGATTCTGGGGTTAATCTGAACAGACAGAGCTTCTTCGTGTAATTCCACACTTATTTTAGTTACAGAGAAAATGTTAGGAAGCTTTCAATCCTAACATTGAAGGAATACCATTGCTGTAGGAAAAAATAAGCTATTTTCCAGCGGTTCAATGCATCTCAGTTAAACTCATCTCAGTCAGAAAAACTAGTCCCATTCACAATGCATTAATACTTTATTTTCAAACGCTTAGGTTCCTGTGTGACATATATTTCTTTTCCATCAGCAGAATAACCAAGGCTACAGCCATGGAGCAGGTGATTGTAGTAAAATAAATCAAATGGGGAAGAAGTTTAAAGAAAGAGAGCAGAGGCAAGAGTCCCTGATAATGGATCAGTTGCTCTAAGCCTTATTGAATTATTTTCTTTGCTTTTTTTTTTCTTTTGCTTAATTCTTTCCCAGTTTCTCCAAGTTGGGGTGAGGATGACCTTGGATGATACGAGCAAGATTATAGGTGGCTTGCAATAAAAGGGAAGTTGCATGAGCAGCTAGCTGATCAAGATGGGAGGCACATAAAAAAACAAAAACTGTTATGCAAACTAAATAGGAAATAATAGTAAAACAAAAGAAAAATGTAGAAACATCAATGTGAAAATAGATACAGACACTAACAGCAGGAAGACACCATTGGCAAATGCCAGACTAAATAGTTTTTTTTTTTTTTTTTTTAAGAGTCCAGTGAAAAGTCAACCTAACAAAACAGTGCAGCAAAGCTTTTTCACAACATGGAGGCTACAACCTGAAAATCTTGATCTCCTTTAGTTATCTGTACCGAGTTATACCACAGATAAGTAAGAAACTTTGAGAAAGAGAAACTATTTAGTTAGACGTTTAGAGAGATGAACTGGTGCCTGACCAGTCACTGTTGCATTCATGAGGAACTAATGTTTATCTTGATCTTCAGTGTTTGAAAGCTGGTGAAACCATTCTGTATAACTCATAAACATCTTACAGCAGCTTTGTTCAGTCTAGGCATTACAGTAGTCTCAAAAGTTTACAGTAACATAGTCAGAGTATGGAGTGTATGGAAAGTCAACTGCTTGCCTGTATGAGTATTTATTCTGTTTTAGTGGGATTTTAAAAGGATCATTATTAGACAATCCATCTTTAACTTGTGTTGGCAGTTTAGTTTAGTAAATGAACTGAGGAACAGCTGTGGTTTAAAAAAAAAATACCTTCACCTAAATGGTATTAGCACCAGAATGATGAAGACATAATACCTGCTTAGGGATGTATATAAAATGAAAATAATAACGGACTTCCCCACATCTCATTTATTGAGCTTTAGGGAACCATACAGGTTAATGAAACTTTCACAGAGGAGTACTTGTTAGCTTTTAAAACAAAATGTATATATCATGAAGAGAAGGAAAACCAGTCCAGTGAGGACACAGAAACAAGAGCCAAATGTTTAACCCAATAATCGAAACCCTGCTGTCCACAGTGTCAAATGCTGCACTACTGTCAAATAGCACAAAAGTCCATTGATCCCACCATTGATGGCCATCAACAGATGATTAAATACCTTTTATAAGCCAAACCGAGAAGCATCATAAATTCACAATCAGGCACATCAAGATCTAATCTGCCTTTCTTGCCCCTTTTCCAAGCTTCTGTTTATTAATGGCAGCTTTGAAACAGGATGCAACTAAACTGGGATCCCAAAGTTAACTTATTTTTTATTAAAGCAATGATCTCTGTGAGTGTAGCCCTGCGTCAAAGAAGCTTTAACAGTGGTGAGCAACAAAGGGGAAAGCATTGAAAGAAGATTCAGAGATTGAAGCTGGAAAATCAAAGGAAGATGATGAGTGTGTTTCATGCTACGCTATGACTGACGACAGCTCATTAAGGGTGATTGGAGAAAATGAGGTGAACAGCTCAGTGGACTTTGGGGAGTTCAGGTTATGAGTAAACTGAGGAAGCTTTGACCTCAAACACCTTTATCTCGTAGTGATTTAAAAAATGTATCAGGGACCTTATCTGAAGCAGCGGTGTGTGATAAAAGAATGAACAAGACTCTTGGCCACCAGAGGAAGAGTTAAAATGTGAGCTAAAGAAGTATTCAGAGCTTGTTAGACAACCACATGTAACAACCATGCATCCTTTTCTATTCACATCCCAATTATAATTTGTGTTGACCCAGCACATCTTAGTAAAATACATGGAAGTTTGTGATTAGGTGAAAAAATTCAATGGGTAAGAAGACATTTGCAGTATGCATAGGCAGTATATCTGAGTTAAAAAACCTTTCTGTTCTTTTTTTATATTCCAGTTTGATCCTAGTTATCAAACAATGCAGTCAAGTTCATATTAGTATTCAAGTTACTTGGAGAGTTTCCTATGAAAGGAAGCCTAGCAAGTTGTTTGGAATCACTGACTTTGCAAGATGCATTGAATTTTTATTTCTTTTTCTCTTTTTACTTTCTGTGTAAATTTGCCTTAATACACATGGTAAGAATAAGACTTAACGTAATACCTAATTAAATAGTTTGTCGCTTTTAAATGTGTGAAAACCATAAATGGAACAACTTACCAATAATATAAAAATGAATTTCAGCTTACAACACACTGGGCTAATAATTGTTAGTCATAGAAAAACAATTTCCATCCTGGGTTGTAGCATTTTCCACCGAAGGATTCAGTGGACCTCATCAAGGTCATTCTTTAAGTAATATTTTTTCATATTTAATAATGTAAATTTACATATCCAAGCTAATAAATTTTATTATGAATGAACACATACTTCTCTTATTGGGTCTTTCATCCATAATTAAAGAGACAGTGCTGATTAGTTTGTATCCCTGAATAATTAAGTATGATGGTTTTGCCATACAGCTTTTGATAAGCAAACTCATGAGCAACAAGTACTTATTTCCAAGAAATACCATCATATTTATGTTTCATTGCATTATTATCCTGAATTGTTAATAAGTTTTCAAGATCTTCCAATAACAAAATCACTTATTGAATTATTGACTCAAAAACTATATCTTACTGTTGGCTACATATGACATTATGTCCTTTTTTATATTTAAAATGTCCACAATTAGGATCAGGCTTTTTTGTTGTTGTTGTTGTTGGGGATTCTTCTACACTGAAGATCTTAATCACTGCTTGTAGCTTCACTATTTTGGTTTACTGTGGATCTCCGTCTTTCAAATCTCAAGCAAAACATAGTTGACATGTTACGAGAGGAGGGAGCTGCGGATATTGCCTTACGAGGCTGGAAATTGAGAAGCATGTGGCCTACTTTAGGAGATGTCTCTAAACAGGGTCACTCCGTAGAGTCTGATGTTTGCTAACTGCAGGAATGCTTCGGTCTGTATCGACGTTCAGAGACAGCGCGCTCAGGAAGTCTCTCATCAGGGGCGCAATTAGAGAAATGCAGCAATACTGACCTGCTGGAGCTCTGCTGCTGTTAATAGAGGATGAAGTATGGGTGTTTGCGTGTATGTGCCTGTGAGGAGGGTGGGGGGTGTATTTCCGATGGGATGCTGAGTGAGCACTGGAACGATTAAGAAAGAAGCAGACAATCGAAGAGGCTTTTACCTGGACGGCATTCTCTTTAAACAGCTGCTGCATCCAGATGAAGATTCACAGCAGAACAACTCCACTTCAAAACACAAACAAGATCACTGTAACAGCCTCTAACTAAATGGAATTAACCCTCATGTTATGTTCATTTCTGAGGTACAGCAATAATGTTTGTGGGTCAATTTGACCTGGGGAGTGTTTTATCATGCAGTAGTGTCAAGAAACCAAAAAATTCCTCCAAAACATTTTTGTATCTGATTATTAACTCC